TTTTCACAAATATTGAAGTGGATTTTATCTGGGTAGTGTTAAATAACTTTGCTATAAAGACAGAGATTTTGTTTCTGTTGTTCATTACGCTCAGTGCAGTAGCTGATATCAGTGTGCTGTGTTAAAATGCCTGCTGGGATGGGATCACACCCAATGCACACAGGATGAGCACACCTGGACAGAGCTGCCAACCATCAGCACTCACCGGCTGAAGGCAGGGAGGGCCAGGGCCCAGAACTGCAGGGGATGAGAATGGACTGAAACCACAGCCAAGGAATTCACAGGCTCTAAAAAGGCAGATCCGAGGAGGAGCCAGGCTGAAAAATTCTTGGAACATGTAAACTAATTTGGGGAAAAGTTTACCATGAATAATTGTTTATGAATATGGATCAGGCTGATGCAATAGAAATGGTAAATAAAGGGTTTCCAAAATAGCAGGGGGGCTCCTGGCTGAGTGCCAAGATGCACCCGACTGTAATCTTTGCTTTATTGTCTTTGTCTCCTATTGCACTTTATTAAACTTTTAAACTTTCTTTTACTTACTTTAGTTTTAACTTAAAAACTTGCAAAACTTCTAAATGTTAAACTTTGTAAATTTTCACAGGACAGTGAAGGTGTTTTCCACAGGGACATCAGGTTGGGTTTGGCTGTGCAGGATCCTTTGTTTCCCAGATCAGCCACACTGAGCTGAGGATTCTCCTCTGCCAGCTCCATCCCACTGCCCTGGGCAATCCATTAATGACGCTAATTAGGACATCAGATCCCGGTGACTAATTGACTTCTAGGCTGGCTTTTGTTGTTTTAAGGGGATGGGAGAAGGGAGGAAGAAGGATTGTTAATTAGTTTAGTTCTGCTTTATCTGAACCACAATATTCCTCACAGAAACTGTTCTGGGCCTGACAATGGATCTTGGCCCTGGAGCACTGGGAGGAAAATTCGTTTAGTTTTTGTTATTTATGGCCAGTTCTGAGGTTGGGCTCCTTGAGGGGGATTTTCCTGGGTGAGGGGTGATCCAGAGTTTAGCTGGGATTGGGGTTTTAATGAGTAATAACCAGGGAAATCTGGAGATTGCTCCTTGATTGATGGAGGGGATGGATGGGCAGAGAAACTCTGGGGAAAATGCAGAGCAAAACATGGATAGAATGGTCTTCTCTCTGTAAACAACCACAGGGAAGAAGATCTGCTGTGTCTGCACTCCTGAAACAAGGAACTGCAGGATTTAGGGAGGATCCAATTCCCCAGGTCCTGCCTGGAGGTGCCTTGAAGGAACAAAGCTCAGGGTCAGGCCGAGAATTGGGATTGCAACCCCTGCCCCCAGGAATGGCCCTGCCTGGCTCAGCCTCCCCAGAAAGGGCTGGAAATTGTTTTCTTTCCCCAAAAAATGAGTTTCATGGAAGTGTTTGGGTTCAAAGTGGGCTGAGTGCTGGAGGCAAAGATCCAGCCAGGAATTTTTCCCATTTCCCAAAAAATCAGGGAAAAGGCTTCAGCTGCAGGATGGCAACGGTGAAACCCTCTAATGTGGGCACTTTCTTGCCAAGGCAAGAACTAAAATCAAATCCATCTTCCAGCTCCTGAGGACATTAAATTTTTACTTCTAGGGTGTTTAAAGAATAAATAAATAAGCACATAAGGAAATTACCCACAGGAGCTCATTTCCATGATGGACAAAGGGGTTATAGCTGGAAATAAAAGAAAATTAATCAATGATTAACCTCATCAGATGGGGATGAATTCTGACCAGCTGATTGAAGAGAGAGGGAAATGGAAGAGGAGAAAAACAGAGTGAAGGATAAGAAAAAAGCTGAGAGCCAGAACATGCAGAAACAACTCCTACTGTCCTGCAGGGGTTTTTCTGCTCCCATTTTAAATATATTTAAGATGGGAAGTGATTCCACATGAGGAAAAGGATTCCTTGGGTGGCAGCAGGGGTGACTTGCTCCCGTGGGAGAGGGGTTCAGGAGGCACCTGCACATCTGAATTTGTTCTAATTTATCAAGAGAAGTGGTTCAGGGGCTCCCAAAGGTGCACTTGGAATAATCCCACAAATGATCACAACAGGATCTGCTCCTGTCGAGACACAAATGTGAAACATCTGCAATTCACGTGGAAAAATAGACAAGAACTCACCCCAAGGAGTTCAGGAGCTGGAGGGTTACCCTGGATCTGGGATATTCAGGATTTGCCTGCCAGGGTGAGGTTTGGCCATCAGGAGCTGCCTGCAGCCCTTGACTTAGGGCCTGACTCATCCCCGCATCTCCAGGAGTGAAAGAAATTATTTTTATTGTAGAAGAGGCTCTGTTGGGAGAGATAGGGTGTCACACCCTGTTCTTCTAAAGTTCTTCTAAGCCTTCTGATGTTTACATTTTTGCAATGGAGTTTCTCATGCACTTTTTATGTAAATAATGATTATTTTGCATTCCTTTCTGGAGGAGGAGAGAATTGATGGACTGTTGGTTTGACCAGTGTGGTTGGAGAGGTGGCAATTTCATCCTCCAATCCATGGTCACTTCTGGAATTCTATAAACATTGAGATTCAGAAATAAACTGCCCCTGTTTTGCCTCGGACATCTCAGCGTGTGAGCGTCGTTCCTTTCATGTTGTATTGCAACAGAAGGGTCTGGACCCTTCTCTCTGGACCCATTTCTTCCCTTTCACAGAGAGAAGAGGATGTGACATGAGATGATTCCCTCCTGCTAATGTGTTGCAGTGTGATTTCAGGGTTTCCCCAGAACCCCGGGTCCTTCCCCTGAGGATTCCCTCCCAGCTGTGTCAGTCCCCTCTCCTCTCCCCTCCCAGCACTGTCTGGCACTCCTGGCATTCCAGAAGGGCCTCGAGTGATTGGCAGATCCAAAGGATGCCCTCTACCCCTGGGGGGCATTGGGCCATCCAGGTGTCCTTTGTCCCTTTGTCCCTCCCCTCCTGTCCCTGCTTGGTGCCTCCCTGCCCCTTCCCTGCTCCTCTCCCCGGGGTTAAAGGAGCAGCAGCCACGGGCTCAGGGAGTTCTGTTGGAGCTGGTGCTGCATTCAGAGGCCTGAGGGCCAGAATAAAGCTCTGGATCCAAAGCCTCCATCAGAACCGACTCCTTTCCTTCACCATCCCCTTAAAGCTTCTCTGCCAGAGGGAAACCCCAGGAGCAGCCCCTGTTATGGGGGGAAGCTCCATCCCAGCACCACCAGAGCTCCTGCAGGCCTGGACTTGTCTGCAGTGCCAACTGCAGCACCCAGGCAGGCAAAAGTGTCTGTGGGGTGAAACACCACACACCCAGGCAGCCAAAAGTGTCTGTGGGGTGAAACACCACACACCCAGGCAGCCAAAAGTGTCTGTGGGGTGAAACACCACACACCCAGGCAGCCCAAAGTGTCTGTGGGGTGAAACACCACACACCCAGCCAGGCAAAAGTGTCTGTGGGGTGAAACACCACACACCCAGGCAGGCAAAAGTGTCCCTGGGGTGAAACACCACACACCCAGCCAGGCAAAAGTGTCTGTGGGTGAAACACCACACACCCAGGCAGGCAAAAGTGTCTGTGGGGTGAAACACCACACACCCAGGCAGGCAAAAGTGTCTGTGGGGTGAAACACCACAGTGCTGCTGTTTGGTTCAGCAGCAAGAGCCAGACAAGCCAAGGCACGTCCCGTCCCCAGTATTGGTAAAATTATCAATACTAATGAGCCTTTGGGGAGGTGCTGTTGTGAGGCAACCTCCTCAGCACTCACACAAAGGATGACACTGGCTTCCCAAATTTCCAGCAAACTTTTAATATTCCCCCAAAACCGAAACACATCTGCTCTGGTGACACTTCTGAACAGGCCAAGTCACCCTGAAAAGCTTTTCTCACGTAGTCTCAAGTATAAATATTTTGATACAAAAAATAAAACCCCATAAAGAAACCCATAAACCCCATAAACCTCCCCCAAGGCATCCGTGGGGATCCATGGCCAGGTACAGCTGCAGGGACAGGCAGCCTGAGGTGCTCCCAGCCCACATTGCCAGGGAATCCAGGAGCAGCAGGGTCTGCAGGGTCTGGGCTGAGCCTGGGAGGGTGCAGGGACCGAGGCTCCGATTCCAGGGCAGCTCCAGCAGCGTTCCCGGGGTGGGGAATGGCTTGGAGCTCCAGCTGAGGGTGTGGGGACACAGCAGGGCACATCTGGCTGGTGGCAGAGTCACACAGGGTCCCTGAGCTTCATCAGGGTCACCCAGAGCAGGGGAATCTCCTGCCTGGTGGCACTCAGAGCCACAGACCTGGCACAATGTTAGGGTCACCTAGAACAGGGTGGTGGCACTCAGGGCCACAGAGGGTCCCTGAGCCTGGTCAGGGTCACCCAGAGCAGGGGAATCTCCTGCCTGGTGGCACTCAGGGCCACAGAGGGTCCCCTGCACGTCACCCAGAGCAGGCTCAGCCCAGGCACTGGGACACTGCCACCATTCCCTGCTGGGAAAGCTTTTCCCATTCCAGTTCCACAGCTCAGGAGGAGCCCAGGCAGGAGCAGCCTGGCCCAGCCTGCCTGCAGAGCACGCTCAGGGTCAGGACTAAACCTCACCTAATTACTGACAACCACCAGGAGCTCAGCCTTGGCCTTTACACCCGGCAGCTGAGGGTGAGTCTAAGTCACTCTGACTTTTAAATTAAATTATCTCATGCATAGAAACAAAAGCTGCAGCAGAGGATTCACGGAACTCATCATCAAGTACTCAGTAACACACTGTATATATATTAAGCTTTAAATAAAAAATCTTTCAAGGTTTTTTTCTTTGAATATATGCACTCTATAGGATGCAGCAAACTCGAGCCTGGTCTAACTCTCAGTCACATCCTGTGCTCTGCCCTTTATACAAAGTCTGCTCTACTGTAATAATTCTTCCTTTTAAACAAATGCAGGTAGCCTAGACCTTAATAAAAGCTGCCCAGAGCCCTGGGGCTGAGCTGCCCTCCCTGAAAAATGGAGCAGTTCTGGTTCTGTTACTTTGGGAAGGAGGTGAAAAACTGCTGGAGTGGGGTTTTAGATGATCTTGTTCTCCAGGGCTTCAATTCTTTTGGCCACAGCTTCCAGTGAGGAGGAGTTAAGGAGGAAAAGCAGCAATTTTTCTGGGAATGTTGGTAGGGAGACTTTTTATGTGGGCACAGAGTGATGGGCCAAGGTTTGAACTAAAAGAGGAGAGATTTAGATGGGATTTGGGGAAGGAATTGTTCCCTGGCAGGGTGGGGAGGGGCTGGGCTGGAATTGCCAGAGCAGCTGGGGCTGCCCCTGGAGCCCTGGCAGTGCCCAAGGCCAGGCTGGACATTGGGGTTGGCAGCACCTGGCACAGTGGGAGGTGGCCCTGGGCAGGGCAGGGGTGGGATGGGAGGAATTTTAAGGCCCCTTCCACCCAAACCACTCAATAATTCCCCAGTCCCAGGCTGGGGTGAGGATGGGATCTGTGCCCGTCCCCTCTGGCGCTCCCAGAGCTCTCAGGCTGCTGGAGCTCCCTGCAGGAAGGAGCTGCCTGTGCTCACACATCCTCCCACTGCCACCGGCTCACTCCCAGAGGAGGAGGGAAAGGAGGGGCTGACAGAGCCCCTGACCCTGAGGAGAGGAGCAGGAGCTTTTCCTGGCGTGCCAGAGGAATTTTCTGCTCTTCTCACTAATTCCTGTTGATGATGTGCCTGGGAGAGCCACCCACCAGGTTGGAGCTGTGACTTCCCCTGACCTCTGCACCACACAGGTCACAGATCTCACCCGGATCTCACTCCTGGGAGGAGGAACAGAGCTGTGCCACAGCAGGGCCCAGAAATGTGGGAAGAAATCAGAATGTTCCTTTTAAAATTAGATCCTCTCCTGATCCTCAGTGGTGAGACATCTCCCCTGCCCTTGTGAGCCACCCTGAGGCTCCATGAATTCTGTTTTTCAAAAGTTTTAATCCTACTCACAAGTTTTTGGTGGATTTTTTTCTCTTTCTGCCACTTAGGGAAAGGCCCAGCATGGCAGAACTCAGTCCCACCAGGTGGGATCTGATGGGATCCAACTCACCTGGCTGGAGCTGCTTCCAGGGAACAGTCCCATCAGGATTTATCTCCCAGCACTGAGTTCTGGCCAGCTGGGACAACCTGGGATGGGTGTATGTGTCCTTCTGGATTAGGCACACCACCCTCCTACAGTCTGAAGTGTTCTGATGTCCCTCTGTCCCTGCAGACCATGAAGAATTCGGGCAGTGTTGGATGTTGGCTCTGAAGGAACCCCCTGCCTCCCATTCCAGCTGCCTCAGGACCCATCTTCCCACAATCCCAGAATCCCAGAGCTTGGAAAAGCTTGGAAAAGCCCTCCAGGGCCATCAAATCCAACTTTCAACCATCCCCTACCTTGTCACCAGCCTGGAGCTCTCAGTGCCACATGTGACCCCCAGGTGCCTCATTCCCACCTTCCTGAACCTTCCCCATGGTCCCTCTGGACCAACCCACCCAGTCCTGGCCAAGCCTCCAAAGGATATGTTTCTGCTGCAAGGAATTGATGAGCTCTTCTACTTTGGTCTGGAACTTCACGATGGACTTGCACTCACACGGATCTTCCTCTGTGGGTCACAACAGCAAGAGGATGAGTGGCACAAAAAATGGATTTAATCAAAATCCCTGAGTTCAGTGAAACAGCACAATTCTTGTTTTCTATGTCAGAAACAGGAAGGAAATCAAAATATAATTATTTCAAATTATCTGATTGATCTCTTCTGGCTTTAAGCTCAGATGAACAGAGAATGTCACATTTTTCTGTTATTCCAGCCATGGGAAGACTTTCCTGGGTTCCATCTCTCTGGAAACCCACTGAGCTCTGCTCCTGATGCTTCAAGTTTGCCCTAAAATTGGAGTCTGCCCAAATAAAGCCAACCTCTGTCTCCCCAACAAGATCCAGTAAAAACTGGAGGCACTGCTACCATCAAGAGTGGTTTGGGCTTTGCTTCAGTAACTCCACTCCTTGAGGGGGTGGAACCATGAGCGTTAATCACTTTGCTAATTTATGTCACTAATTTACATCTGTTCTTCAAGGAAAATTAACTCAGACTGGAACAGGAGGAAAAAAATGCCTGGGAAAGAAAGGGAGGGGTTACAAGGCCCCTCTGAGCTGAGCAAAGGAGGAGTAAATAAAAGACAGAATTTTTAAAGGAAATTAATCACTTATACCAAAACTCAACAGGTTTAAACCAGCCAGGTGTAACCTAAAGCTGGAGATTAACAGAAGATTTTAAGGCAGCTGTTGAGAAATACAAGCTGGTACTGGGAATGAAAACAAAATGCAACTATCTCCTAGCCTTCATTTTATTTTTAATACTCAAATGTAAACATATTTGCCCAAATTGATATCTTACAAACAAACAGTTTTTCTGAAATTTGCTTTTGTTTTTGAAGGCTGAAGCTTAAGTGTATTTGAATGATTTTAAAGAACAATTTGTTGGGGGTTTCATATAGATCCCATCCTTTGTTCTTGGATTGATCCTAATTTCTTGATGAGACTTTTCAAAGAGTCTCTGCCTTGCAATCCTGGCTCTGCAGACACAGGGATTATCCCCCTCCAACTTCTCCAGGAGGAAAGGAAATCCCATCTTAAGGAACCTGGAGACAAATTCATCATTTCTGAAGAAAAAGAAGGGCAGAAAGGTGCAGGAGAAAGGAAGGAGAAGGGGATTTGGGAGAGGGGGATGTGGCTGAGGTGTGGGGATTGCTTTGCCTCAGGTAACCACCCAAAATATCAATGTCTCCTGATGCTCCCGTGTGTTCTGCCAGCTCCACACACTGGGAACAGGAGATTTTTATCACATCCACTTAAAAGGGCATTTTCATCCTTCTACTCCAGGCTGCAAATGCTGTGACTGAACCCCTCCATCCCCAATCCCCCTCCCACCAGCACAGAACTTCAGCTGCAGCTTCTCCAGGGGCATTTCCACCCCTCCAGTCCAGCCTTGAGCACTGACTGAACCCCTCCATCCCAGCTGTGACAGATGAGCAATGCCATGGCTGACTCTCACAATTAAAGGCAAATATCCTGGATCTCTGTCAGGAGCAGTTTTATAGATTTATAGTTGTGTTTTACCCCCCTGTGCTGTTCTCAGGGGTGCCCTGGGTTTGGGACATTTGGGAGGGTCACTCGTTACCATGGCAACAGCTGCCCCCACTCCAGGTGTCAGGCAGGGATCTCCACCCTGGGCAGGGAAGGAGGAGTCCATGGACAGAACTCTGGGGGGCAAAGGGTTAAAAGGTGAAACCTCCATGGTGTGGGTGAGCACATGGTGGGAACATCCTCTGCTCCTGGTGCTGTGATGTTTTCTCTATTCAGTCTGCTGTTGATGTTCAGTCTGCTGTCTCTATTCAGTCTTGCTGATGGTCCTGTGTTTCTGATAAGGCTTTAATAAACCTTTTACATGTTTGGAAGTGAGGATCATTTTTCACACCAGTCCTCTCTTACCAGCACAGATCTCCATCTGCAGCTTCTCCAAGGCCATTTCCATCCCTCCACTCCAGCCTTGACTGAACCCCTCCATCCCCAGTGCCTCTCACCAGCACAGATCTCCATCTGCAGTTTCTCCATGGGCATTTTCTTCCCTCTGCTCCATCCCAATCGCCTCTCACCAACACAGACTGATGATCTGCAGCTTCTCCAAGGGCATTTTCACCTCTCCACTCCAGCCTTCAAACACTGGGACCAAACCCCTCCATCCCAGTTCCCTCCCACAGCACAGATCTTCACCTGGTGGTTTCTGGAGGGGCATTTTCCCCCCTCTGCTCCACCCTTCAGATGCTGTGGCTGAACCCCAGTCCCCTCTCACCAACACAGATCTTCATCTGCAGCTTCTTCCCGATCTTGCTGATGGTCCTGAAGTCGGCAGTGTAGAAATAATGCTCAGCCACGGGTTCTGAGGCGATCTCCCTCAGCTCATCCTCCACAGCATTGCCCACTCCCACGGCAAACATCCGAAATCCTGCCAGGAACGGGACCCTGTGAGCACCACGGAGCTGGCACGGGGCCACCCTGCCAGGCTGGGCATCCCCTGAGCCCCCAGGCCCTACACAGCTCCAGATCCTCACTGAGAATCACCCCCTCCACCCCCACCATTCCAGACTCCTTTCAGCCAGGTTAAACAGGCCGAAAATAATTTCACAGGCAGAGATTTTATTAAAATTTACCAGACCATGGGCACCTGGGCCACAAGAACAAGGTTTTGGAGATGTTCCTTTCATCCAGGTCAAACAGGGGCCAAAATATTTTTGCAGGCAGAGTTTAAGTAGAATTTCCCAGCCAATGACAACAAGAGCAAGGTTTGGGAGATGCAAGAAAGGACAGGTGATGGTAACATCATCCCATTGATGTGGAAGTGATAATGTAGCAAACGGGACCGGTGGGAGTTTCCAGAACAGCTCAGCCACTGTTAATCAACCCCTGTTAATGAGCCCCTGAGTGGCAAAGTCCCCCTGCAGTGGAGCAGAACTGAGCTGAGTCTCTGTCCAAAACTGCAGCCCCCACTGGGAGTTCACAACTTGTCCTGCTCTGTCAGGAGATTGATCTGCTTTAAACCTTTTTCTATTGAACTGAAATGCAATTTTCCCATTTTGGGAGGTATTAATTAGCCCTGATTTGAAATACTTGTCTCTACTTGTCCATGCCCAGGCACTGGAAATGTTTCCCTGCTCCCCTTTGTGCTTTTCTTTCTCTGGATATATCCAATATGTGTTGTTTTTCTGAGGCTCAGCTCACTGAACAATTTTGCAGTCTCATTTTAAGCACTTGTTTATCCCACAGCAATAACTCATGGACAGATAAGAGATTTCCTTGCAGGGACAAGAGAGACAAGGCACAAAGTTTTATCACCAGGGAGGAATAAATTCTATAAATACACTTTATAAGAACCTTTTGTTTTATAAGAGCTGAACAGCCCCATAAGATGTCAGAGTGCTTTGTAAACATTGGTTTTTCACGAGCTCCCTGACCTTTCTGGTTATGTGCTGGCCCTGAGTCCCATCTAGTGGTGGAGAGCGAAGTTAAAAGGAAGGGAAGGATTCAGCAATTCCTGAGTGAATTCCCAGCAGCTGGATCCATTTAACACAGGGGTGTCAGAGCCTGGGAACGTGCTCAGCAGCTCAGCAGAAGGGCAGATCTCGAGGCATTAATATTTCGTGGGGCTCAAGCACAGGAATCCATCAGTGTGTGGCCACTGAGTGTTTTTCCTACAACAGCAGCTGAGGAAAGTTCCTTATTAATGTGCCTGGGGTTCCTCCTTAACCCATGTCTGGGCTTTGTTATTGTTTTGTTGCTTTTTCTCTGCCTTTTCCAGGCCTTGAGGCTGATGCAGCCAAGCCACACTTGGCCCTACAAATCCTGGGGTTGGTTGTGTTTGTCCTTGTGTGCCTCTGGTGCTGGGCTGGGCTTCCTGACCAACCCCAGACAAATCCCAGAGTGGAGAAGGGCTGGGTTAGGAGGGGCCTTAAACTCCTCTTGCTCCACCATCTTCCACCATCCCAGGTTGCTCCAAGCCCTGTCCAACCCTAATGGTGCTGAAACCTCCTAATTCCAAATTCCCCCTGCAGCTTCCTTCCACATTTGTGTGGAGCAGCTAGACCTGGGTGCATCCCATTCCACAGGGTGAAACTCCATCCTTTCCATCCCATTCCAGGGGGTGCAACTCCATCCTTTCCATCCCATCCCAAGGGATGGAACTCCATCCTGTCCATCCCATCCCAAGGGATGGAACTCCATCCTGTCCATCCCATTCCAGGGGGTGCAATTCCATCCTGTCCATCCCATTGCAGGGGATAAAACTCCATCCTGTCCATCCCATCCCAAGGGATGGAACTCCATCCTGTCCATCCCATTCTAGGGGGTGGAACTCCATCCTGTCCATCCCATTCCAGGGGATAAAACTCCATCCTGTCCATCCCATCCCAAGGGATGGAACTCCATCCTGTCCATCCCATTCTAGGGGGTGGAACTCCATCCTGTCCATCGCATTCCAGGGGATAAAACCCCACCCTGTCCATCCCATTCCAGGGAGCAGAATTTCACCCTGTCCATCCCATCCCATCCCATCCCATCCCATCCCATCCCATCCCATCCCATCCCATCCCATCCCATCCCATCCCATGGGATGGAACTCCACCCTGTCCATCCCATCCCAAGGGGATGTCCATCCTGTCCATCCCAAACTCCACCCTGGCCAGCAGAAACTCCTCTAAAGACACAGAGGGGAACTAAAACCAGCTCTTGACAAATCAAGGTGCCCAGACTGAGGTGTTCCAGGCTCTCTGTGAGCAAGGATAGCCAGGGAATATCTCCCCAGAGTTACTCAGTATAACCTGTGTACATCCTAAGAGACAGATCCAGGGAAAAAGTCCTGCCTGGGCCAAGGGAGAAAGTAGCCCAGGGAGCTGAGGAGCCCTACCTGAGTCCTTGGCTTTCTTGGCAGCATCTGAGATATAATCCTGTGAGCGCCCATCAGTGAAGACAATCCCCACCTTGGGGACGCCGGGCCGGGCTCCGTTGATGACAGAGAAGGAGCTGTCAACGAGGTACTTGAGAGCCTGGCCTGTCATGGTCCCCTTCTCCATGTAGGACATTTTCTTCACTGCTGCCTTGATGTCCTTCTTGCTCTTGAACTGCCCCAGGGGGAACTCCTGCCGGACGGAGCTGGAGTACTGCACCAGCCCCACCTGGGCCTGTTTGTCCGACACCTCCAGCGAATCCACGATCTGGTTGATGAATTTCTTCACCAGCTCAAAGTTCTCAGGCCTCACACTCTTGGAGCCATCGATGAGGAACACAAGATCCAGAGCAGACCCCAAGCCACCATTGCAAGCTGAGGGAAAAGACGAGAAGAGGGCAGAAGAAAACATCAGCAAAGACCTCAATAAATCATGTAGGAAAATAGAACCCTAATGCCATTTATTGCTGAGGAAATGGGGTCAATCAATGAAAACCCAACAGGAGAGCACAACAATGGTTTGAAAGTGATTCTGGCTTCTAAGAGAAGGGTTTCCCTTTCTGCCTTCCTTGAGGAGAACATCCCAGTGCTGTCACCACAGTCCCCTCAGGGACCCCTCACGTACCGGTGCAGGTCTTGCCGTCGCTGTTGAGGCTGAAGCCGTCCCTGCAGGCACACCTGTAGGCCCCTGGGGTGCTGACACACACCTGCTCACAGTCGTGGTCCCCCGTGGCACACAGGTCAGACACCACTGCAAGGAGAGGAGGGGGTGGCTTCAAGCAGGGGCCTCCCCACCCACACCCAGCTCTGCACAGCCCCACATTGGCCCCATAACTAAATCTGCTTGGCAGTGGGACACAGCTCATTGAGCCTGGACAGTGCCTGAGGCAGAGTCTGAGGCTGGAAATGGGGCTGTGTGTCCTGTCCCCGTGTGTCAGAGCTGGGCAGCTCTCTGCTGTTCTTGGGGCAGTTTTCTTGATCTCTGCCCCAGCCAATCCTCCCTGCAGGAGATCTCTGCTGTCCATGGCCACTGAGTGTCCCTGCAGGGCTGATCCAATTCCAGCATCCCATGGGGAGATGCTGCATTGCCCAGGGCAGGAGCCAAGCATTCCTACCTGGATCCAATGGGAGCCTGGCACAGCCCAGCAGCCTTTGCCCAGGGCATTGCCAGAGGAGCAGCTTCTGCTGCCCTGCATGGCCAGAGGGAGCCCAGGCCCATCTGCAGCAGCCCTGGAGCTGCAGAGGAAAACTCCCCCCTTGTGCAGGATCCCTGCTCCAGCAGAAGCACAGCTGGCACTGCAGGAGGGCTGAGCCCCCATGGGATGGGGCTGTGCCACCCCCTGACCCACAGCGTGCCAGGGCTGCTCTCACTCTGCCAGGCTTGGTTTGTACTCTTGCATTTGGATTTTTAATTTTCCTTGTACAGAACTGTTATTCCTGCTCCCATATCTTTGCCTGAGAGCTTTTTAATTTCAAAATTGTAATAATTCAGAGGGAGGGGGTTTGCATTTTCCATTTCAGGGGAGGCTCCTGCCTTCCTCAGCAGACACCTGGCTGTTCAAACCAAGACAGGCACTAAGACAAGGAAGAAATATCCATGAGTCTCCCTGCTCCAAGGCACAGCCAGGACTGGAAATCTTCCCTGAGGGCAAACCCAGCTGGGTGTGGGGCAAATCACAGCACACCTCACTCTGCAAAGCTCCTGGGTGAGGTTTGGGTCCCAGCTGCCCTCCAGGCTGTCCAGTGCCCAATTTTTGCAGCTCTGCAGTGCAATCCTGAGCAGGGAGCTCAGCTGCCCTTCCTGGCCAGCATTCATGTGTGAACACACCTGGGATTCACCTCAGAGCTCTCCCTGCATGTGCAGCTCTCAGATCCCTGCTCTCCAAACCCTCCTGCTGCCCCTCCTGGCCTGGCTGTGGCTCCTGGGATGCTGAGCAAGCAGCCCTGAGTGGCAGCACCGGGAGCCGGCGGCACTGGGGGTGACAGCGCTGTCACACCGAGGATGGCAAACAAACTCCAGAGCAAACGGGGCTGAGGAGGCAAATTCAGCTACAAACGCCAGGGAACATGTGCAGAAATCCAAGCCCTGGGCTGGAGTGAACGGATGGGAGGTGGAGTGAGTCTTTCTGAGTTCAGATTTGTTATTTTGAGCCATTTGTGTTCTGCTCTACTCATATTCTGTACATTTTTTTGGCCTTTCCACTTCCCGTGGCTGTGCCAGCACTGGTAGATTGTTCCAGCCCAGATCATTGGGAATTTCAGTGCCCCTGGAGCTGCCTGTGGTTCAGTGCTCTGGTGAATCTCAGCCCAGGCTGGAGCACCAAGGGTTCCCCGTTTCCCCATGAGTTTGCTGGGCACTGTGGGAAGCACTTTTCCCTGCAGTCAGTCCCACAGATCCTGTGCTGTGCCCCAGCAGCGGGTCTGGGTCCATCCCTGGCGTGGTTTAGGGCAGCTGCATATGCAGAGCAGGGCAACAGGGACTTGGACAGAGCTGTCCTCTGCTCCCTGCAGCAGCCCCGAGGGCTTCCCTCCCTCCCAGGGCTTCCCATGGGCAGAGCTTTGCCATCTGCACAGGGAGGCACAGAAAGGATTTTTCCCCACAATTTCAAATCATGGGGTGAGGCCTTGGCACCGCTGCTGCCTCCCAATCCCAGGGCAGCCAATCCAAACTCCACAAATATTCATGGCCTGGATTCCACTCCTCAAATTCTGTCTCTCTCCCTCCCTTTGTCTGAGGTGTTTGTTCCCTCTGCCATGAGCTGCTGCTGCAGTGACACCTGATAATACCTGACTCATTCTGTGCTATCACCTGAGGATAATCCACAGCTCACTCTGTAGCTGAAATTTCCCTCCTTTCCACAGAGGAGCCAAATTTCCATGACAAAAAGCTGCTCCCCTTCATCACTTTCAGCCTGGGAGCTGGACCAGGAGATTTTACACCTGTCAGAAACTGGGAGATCTCCAGGCCCAGCCGAGTGTGTTTGGAGTTCCAGGTGGATCACACCTTTCAGGAAGTGTTGCCACAGGTTTTTCCTTCCAGGGAAAGGCCCCTGGGCCTCTCCTGCTGACAGAAAATGGGAATTTATGGCCCATTCCTGCTGCCTTGGGGCACATTTGGAAGCAATAAAGCATTCCCAGTCCTTCAGCAGCTCCTGTAGGAGCAAAGCTGCATTTGTAGGATGGTGTTGGTAGGGTGGTGTTTGTAGGGTGGTGTTTGTAGGATTGTGTTTGTAGGGTGGTGTTTGGAGGATGCTGTTTTGTAGGATACTGTTTTTGTAGGATGGAGTTTGGAGGATTGGGTTTGGAGGATGGTGGTTTTATAAGATGGTGTTTTTATAGGATGCTGTTTGTGGCATGGTGTTTGTAGGGTGCTGTTTTTATAGGATGATGGCTTTAGGATGCTGTTTGTAGGATGCTGTTTTCATAGGATGATGGTTTTAGGATGGTGTTTTCATAGGATGGTGGTTTTAGGATGGTGTTTTTAGGATGCTCAGGCTCCTTTGATGTGCTGTGCAGACAGGAATCAGATCCTGCTCCAGCCAGGAGAGATTCCTGCCCCACAAGGCTCCCAACCCCAAAAGCAGCATCAGGCAAAGGCAGCTCAGCCTCTGACAGGACCTGGGACCATCCCAGCTGAACTGGGAATTCTGGAGGCAATGCTGGCGGGGGGAATGCAAAACAAATTCTCTCCACTGCCCCAAAAGGGGTGGGATTTCAGTGTGCTGAAATCCTCTTTTCCAAGTTGCTTTCCAGTGCCTCCAGGAGTGTGTGGATCGTGTTTACAAACTCTCCAGTGCCAGTGAAATCTGGAGATTTCTTTAACCAAAACCTGAAATCCCCTGGACAAAACCCTGCAGTTCTGGAAAGACAACTTCAAAGAGGCCCTGATTCCCACAGGGCTCTGAACATGCAGGGCTTGGAGCAAGGAAGCAGAGGGGTGAAGGGTGGTCACAGGTACAGCTTCCATGGGAAAGGCTGGAGGAGGACTTTGGAAAAGGGTCTGGAGGGACAGGAGCCAGGGAATGGCTGCCAGTGCCAGAGGGCAGGGTCAGATGGGATACTGGGAAGGAATCCATCCCTGTGAGGGTGGGCAGGCCCTGGCACAGGGAGAAGGCTCCAGGGAGAGCTCAGAGCCCTGGCAGGGCCTGAAGGGGCTCCAGGAGAGCTGCAGAGGGACTGGGGTCAAGGATGGAGGGACAGGAGGCAGGGAATGGCTGCCAGTGGCAGAGGGCAGGGCTGGATGGGATCTTGGCAATTGGGAATTGTTCCCTGGCAGGGTGGGCAGGGGCTGGGCTGGAATTGCCAGAGCAGCTGGGGCTGCCCCTGGAGCCCTGGCAGTGCCCAAGGCCAGGCTGGACATTGGGGCTGGCAGCCCCTGGCACAGTGGGAGGTGGCCCTGGGCTGCAATGAGCTGGCATTGAAGATCCCTTCCCACCCAAACCACTCTGGCATTCCCATTCCTCAATCCAGGATGGAAACCAGCACCAAAAACCATTGCAGCAAATGGAGAAAGGCAAGGAAAGAATGATTTCCTGCATGGTTCCAGGTGCCCCCAGTGCCATTTGCCACAGGGGTTTGTAGCCTGGCAAGGCCTGGTTCGAGAGGTTTGGGCTCTGCCATGGCAGGGATGGGATGAGCTTTCCAATCCCTTCCTACCCAAAGCATTCCAGGATTCTCTGCAGAGCTTTAAGGTCCTTCCCACCCAAACCATTCCCAGCTCCTGGCTGGCAGACCCACAGCCCCAGGCTGGGCACAGCAGCACTCACCACAGAAAGCCTCCTGGAACTTGTGGGTCAGCTTCTCGATGACGCTGTAGCTCTCCACATAGTCCACGTGCTCGTCCAGGGGCTCGCTGGCCATCTGCCTCAGCGTGCCCATGTCCACCCTGCCCACGCCGATGGCGAAGATCTCGATGCCCGCGGCCCTGGCCCGGGCGGACACGTCCTGCACCCCGTCCTGGGGCCGGCCGTCCGTCACCACGATGGCCACCTGCAGGGGGAGGGATGGGACGGCCTGCCTGGGCACTGGGATCCTGGTTTGTGTTCCCAGAATGTTGGTGGGACAGGCCGGGGTAGGAGGGGAGGGTTTGCATTTCTAAAATTAAGGGAAAAGGGAATCAATCCCACAAGCTTTTCCCATTCTTTGGAGATCACACCAACCATAGTTTTTTGAGGTGGAATTAGTTTCTTTCTGAGCTTGAAAAGTTAAACTGCCAAGGATTGATGGTTTCACTAAGGGATAAGTGCCAAGGATGGATGGTTTCAGCAAGGGACAACTGCCAGGGATCAATGGCTTCACCAAGGGAACAATGCCAGCAATTGATGGTTTCACTAAGGGACAAGTGCCAGGGATCAATGGCTTCACCAAGGGACAATTGCCAAGGATTGGTTTCACTAAGGGATAAGTGCCAAGGATTGATGGTTTCACCAAGGGACAATGCCAAGGATTCGTGGTTTCACCAAGGGACAGCTGCCAGGGATCAATGGTTTCACCAAGGGAACAATGCCAGGGAGTGATGGTTTCACCAAGAGACAATGCCAAGGATTGATGGTTTCACCAAGGGACAATGCCAAGGATCAATGGTTTCACCAAGGGACAATGCCAAGGATTGATGGCTTCACCAAGGGACAATGCCAAGGATTGATGGTTTCACCAAAGGACAAGTGCCAGGGATCAATGGCTTCACCAAGGGACAAGTGCCAAGGATTGATGGTTTCACCAAGGGACAATGCAAAGATTGATGGTTTCACCAAAGGACAAGTGCCAGGGATCAATGGCTTCACCAAGGGACAATGCCAAGGACTGATGGTTTCACCAACGGACAACTGGTGCATCCCCCTCTAAGGAGACTGAATTAAAATTTATGTTGTTCATAGCCAAACTTGAGATCAAGCCAAACTAAAGATCTTCAGAGACACTCAGGACAAGCCCAGCTGAGTGTGGGGCTTCACAGCATCTCAGGAATGCCATGGAAACAGGGAACCCTTTATAGGATGGAACTGGAACCATCTCCATGGGGAGAGGGGGAAGAGGCCTGAGGTCATGCTGTGTGTCAGGGCCTGCCAGGATTTGTGATTCTCTGTTCCAAATAAACAGCAGGGATTAAACCCCACCCCTGCTAACCCCAGCATTAAAGTGGCAGCTGGTTTAAGTGGGAACTGGATTTCAGCTTGGATTAAACGGTGCCCTGAACCAGCTAAAAGCCTCCCAAAGTCCTGCTCCTGGTTTGTCCCTTTTCCTCTTTATTTTTCTTCTGAAAGAGACTTTGTCACAAGACCTGAATTCTTGCTCTTTGCCAATTCTTCTGCCCCTGCCACTTTTCCTTACAACTGATTTATTGTGACACCACTGCTGACTCCAAAGGAATGGCTTGGGCTGGAATGCAGAATGGGGAAAGAGCTTCCCCTCTGTGAAAAACAGGAGAAACAAGAAAAATGTGGAGCTTTGCAATCTAATTTCAGCTGTTTATCTGCACTTCCTAAGGGCTGCACAATTAAAAATTCCCAGGAGCATCATAATTCTGCAACTGGTGCTTCCATGGGGGAAAAAACAAACAAATTCAAACCTTGCTCTTCTAGCGTGGCAAAAAACAAAACAAAACAAAACAAAACAAAAAAAAAAACAAAAAAAAAAAACAAAAAAAAAAAAAAAGAAAAAACCGAAAAAGGCAAAGGAGCCCCTGTGGCAGGTGTGGGGGAATGGATGTGCCCAAGGAGCTCCGGGAGTGGATCCATGCGTGCAGTGGAGCCTTTTGCCAGGAGAGAGAGCCCTCGGCTCAGCCTCAGCTCCAGCCGGGCTGCTCCGCCTGAGCAGCACCAGCAGCACCGCCCGGGGCTGCAGGGAGAGGAGGAGGGAGCCCAGAGCACGACTGGCAGGAGCAGGGAGCCGTCAGATCAGGGATCACAGGAGATATGAAATCCGGGATCACAGGAGCCATCACATCAGGGATCAGAGGGGTTATCAAATCAGGGATCACAGGAGATATCAAATCCGGGATCACAGGAGCCATCACATCAGGGATCGCAGGAGATATCACATCAGGGATCAGAGGGGTTATCAAATCCGGGATCACAGGAGATACCACATCAGGGATCACAGGAGATATCACATCAGGGATCACAGGACAGATCACATCAGGGATCACAGGAGATATCAAATCCGGGATCACAGGACAGATCACATCAGGGATCACAGGGGTCATCAAATCAGGGAATGAGGAGATATCAAATCAGCAATCACAGGAGATATCAGGGATCAGAGGGGTTATCAAATCAGGGAATGAGAGGAGATATCAAATCAGGAATCAGAGGAGATACCAAATCAGGGATCAGAGGCTTTATCAAATCAGGGATCAGAGGGGTTATCAAATCAGGAATCAGAGGCATTATCAAACCAGGGAATAAGGAGTTATCAAATCAGGGATCAGAGGCTTTATCAAATCAGGGAGCAGAGGCGTTATCAAATCAGGGAGCAGAGGCATTATCAAATCAGGAATCAGAGGCATTATCAAACCAGGGAATAAGGAGTTATCAAATCAGGGATCGGAGGCTTTATCAAATCAGGAATCAGAGGCTTTATCAAATCAGGGAATAAGGAGTTATCAAATCAGGGAGCAGAGGCATTATCAAATCAGGGAATAAGGAGTTATCAAATCAGGGATCAGAGGTGTTATCAAATCAGGGAACAAGGCACTATCAAATCAGGGAGCAGAGGCGTTATCAAATCAGGGAATAAGGAGTTATCAAATCAGGGAGCAGAGGTGTTATCAAATCAGGGAATAAGGAGTTATCAAATCAGGGATCAGAGGTGTTATCAAATCAGGGACCAAACCCTGCCGGCAGGTCCTGTCAGCAGCCATGTGTCCTCCTGCAATTCTCTTCCTAAATCAAGAAATTCTCCAGGTTTTATCAGCTCCTCTCCATCTGCAGCCAAGCCCAAGGCCAGCTAAACCTAAGCCCAGATAAGGCCGAGCCCAGATAAACCCCAGATAGGGTGGGGCTGCAGTGTCCACCACTGGATGTTATGCTAAGATCCTCATAATGCCTCTGTGTGGAAATCTGCCATAAAGGACTCAAAATTCACATTGCTTTCTGCCCTGCTGTTGGAGAAAACCAAGCTTCTAGATACAGAGTTGGGATTGGGAATTAATCAGAGAACCCATAGAGAAAATGACTGTAACAGTGAGAGGAAGGCAGGGCACCTGTCTGTTACAGCCTGACAGAAGAGTGTAAAAATATCTCTTAATATCACATTTGGTTAACCCAATCATCAGGAATTCCTGTTTTTTTCCTAGGATTCCTACCATAGATATTTTCCCTGCATCCAGCCTGAGTCAATGTGAAAAAATGTCCCTTTTTTACTCTTATTATTTTCAAACCTACCTCCAAATTATTTGCAGTCTGAGGATCTCTATAATTCCCTGCCATTGAAAAAGCTGAGTCCTGGTTTGGGAAAGGCTTGGAGGGAAGGAGCAGCCTCTGGATCCTGGGGAGGCTGGCACTGCTCAGCCATGTGAGGGGAATTATGAAAAGGTGAAGCTTCTCCTGCCTCCAACAGCTGGATTTTGCCCTGATCCTCAGTTTTACCCTGGGAAAATTCAGAAATTTTGCTTTTCAAGGTCAAACCTTTTGCTCATTTAACCAGCAGCTTTCCCTGTGAATTCCTGACATTCTGGATCCCTCATCCTTCTGTCAGACAGAAATCCCACGTGGTCTGATACAATTTATTCCTGGTTATCTCAGACACCCGAGCATTCCTGAGCATTCCCGAGCATTCCCAGCTATCCCCAGCCCGGGCTGGCATTTCCCAGCTAATGAGGGAGTGATGGCTCATTATGCCCTGGGAACGTGATGTTCCAGCAGCACTCCAAGGAGAATCAGGCAGGAAGCTGCATAAAGCCCTGGATTTGCTCAGCAATTTGCCACTTTATTTGTTGTTCTTCCCTAAAAAATAAGGTGGAAGTAATTGGGCTCCCCGCGGGTTTTGAGGAAGGTGGGAGCAGGTTTTTCTCGGAGCTCCTCCAGAAACAAATTGTGCTTTTCCCTGCCCCGGGGTGACATTTGCTGCACAAAGCAAGAGCAAAGCACCGTGTGATGTTTTGGGATGTTGACAACGAGATTTGCACGAGGATTTGTTGGATTTCTGCTGTGGGAAGGAGCAAAGACCGTGTCCGATGTTTCTAGAAGCTTCACCTCCCTAAATCCCTGTACGATCTGTTTATCCTCCCAGGCAGGGGATGGGGTCACCCTGAGCAGAAGGGAAAAGCTGGCTGGACTTCAAGGCAGAGGGGAAAAGTGAAAAAATAACCAGAACCAAGAACACAAAGGGTTGTGGAGTTTTCCACCTTGCAGACATTGAAAAGCCACCCGGGCATGGTCCTGGGCAGCCCCACTGGAGCTCAGGGTCAGCTCCAGAGACCCCTCCCCACCTCCTTCTGTGATTCTGCCTCTTGGATCAGCTCCAGAGTGGAAGGAAGGAGGGAAAAGCAAGAAGTTATTTCCTTTTTCCCCTTTTTTTTAATGCCTCAGATAAATCATTCCAAAGCTCCCTGCTCCCAGCTCTTCCAGCTGTCGAGGAAATCCAGGAGAGTTTGTTCCCCACAACCAGAGGTGACAGGGAACAGCAGGGCCTGGGGGAGCTGTCTGGCAGCAGGGAAAGAGGGCACGAGGAGAGGGATGTTGAATGGTGTGGAAGAGATTCCAGAGATGAGGACCCAGCACTTTCATGCACAGCTCAGTGGAAATGTCTCTCCAATCTGCAGGAGTGGCCAATGCTGTGTGCAATTGTCAGACTGCATTTAGAACAAAAACTGAGACTAAGACTGACTATGTTATAATGAGTTTTGTATTTTCTTTCACTAAGCCCCAAAGATGAGCTTCAAGAAGAATTAAGATGTTTGAACCTCCCACAGATTTTTCAAGAACTGAGAGATTTGAAGCTCCCAGAAGTTTTCAGGAATTTAGAAGTTTGAACTTCCCAGAGGATTCCAAGCAGAATTGAGAGGTTTGAACCTCTTGAAGGTTTCCAAGAATTGAGAGGTTTGAACTTCCCAGAGGCTTCCAAGAATTGAGGGGTTTCAACCTCCCAGAGGTTTGCAAGAAGAATTGAGAGGTTTGAACCTCCCAGATATTTCCAAGAAGAGTTGAGATGCTTGAACCACCCAGAGGTCTTCAAGAATTGAGAGGTTTGAACCCCTCAGAGGTTTCCAAGAACTGAGGGATTTGCACCTCCCAGAGGTTTCCAAGAAGAATTGAGAGATATGAATGTTCTGGAGATTTTTAAACCTCCCATTTGCACCTCCCAGAAGTTCCAAGAAGAATTGAGCGGTATGAACTTCCTGGAGGTTTTCAAACCTCCTGTTTGCACCTCCCAGAGGTTTCCAAGAAGAATTGAGAGGTTTTCAAACCTTCCTGGAGGTTTTCAAACCTCCTGTTTGCACCTCCCAGAGTTTTCCCACCTGCAACAATCAACCCTCAGGTGTTACACACAACCAAAGCCCAGAAAAAAACACCTTCCTGCTTTTCCCAACCACTCCACAACGAGTCCCAAGCAAGGAGCTGGAGGAACCAGCCCCTTTTTACCTTTTTGAAGTTGGGCGCGCTGCCCCTGGCGCCCTCGGCGGCGCTGAAGGCGCGGCTGATGGCGAACTGGATGGCCAGGCCGGTCATGGTGCCCGTGGAGAGGGGCTGGATCCTGCGCACGGCCTGCAGCAGGGCTGCCTTGCTCTGGGGGCCCTGCAGGGACAGCTCGCTGCGCACGGCGCTGGCGTAGTTGATGATGCCCACGCGGGTGGCGTTGGGGCCCACGTCCAGCGCCTCGATGACGCGCGACACGAACACCTTGATCTTCTCAAACTCGTGCGGCCGCACACTGCGCGAGCTGTCGATGATGAACACCAGGTCCGTGGGCTTGGTCCTGCACAGGGTGCCTGGGAATGCCAGGGACAGAGGGGAAGTCAAAGGGAAAGTGTCAAAGGAAAATTGTCCCAAGAGGGAGAGATCAGTGCTGGTAAAGCAGCACCAGGCGGAGAGGAGCCGCAGGTTTTGGTCCTTTCTCTGTTTTACAGCTTTAACAGAATATTTTAAATGTTCTTAATGCTTTTGTAGGGAAGCACCTTTAGGAAAGCAGAGTTCCTGGGGACTGACACTGACTTGTGATGGGTAGGGTCTCCCTTGTCACCTCAGGACAAGTGTGTCCCTTGTAGCTGAGGAAATATCATCCCCCAAGGACAGCACAAAGAGAAGGAGGGATAAATGTGCGGAAGGAAGGAAGTGGCGGAAGGAAGGAAGGAAGTGGCGGAAGGAAGGAAGTGGCGGAAGGAAGGAAGTGGCGGAAGGAAGGAAGTGGCGGAAGGAAGGAAGTGGCGGAAGGAAGTGGCGGAAGGAAGTGGCGGAAGGAAGGAAGGAAGGAAGTGGCGGAAGGAAGGAAGGAAGGAAGGAAGGAAGGAAGGAAGGAAGGAAGGAAGGAAGGAAGGAAGGAAGGAAGGAAGGAAGGAAGGAAGGAAGGAAGTGGCGGAAGGAAGGAAGGAAGGAAGGAAGGAAGGAAGTGGCGGAAGGAAGGAAGGAAGTGGCGGAAGGAAGGAAGTGGCGGAAGGAAGGAAGGAAGGAAGTGGCGGAAGGAAGGAAGGAAGGAAGTGGCGGAAGGAAGGAAGTGGCGGAAGGAAGGAAGGAAGTGGCGGAAGGAAGGAAGGAAGGAAGGAAGGAAGGAAGGAAGGAAGGAAGGAAGGAAGGAAGGAAGGAAGGAAGGAAGGAAGGAAGGAAGGAAGGAAGGAAGGAAGGAAGGAAGGAAGGAAGGAAGGAAGGAAGGAAGGAAGGAAGGAAGGAAGGAAGGAAGGAAGGAAGGAAGGAAGGAAGGAAGGAAGGAAGGAAGGAAGGAAGGAAGGAAGGAAGGAAGGAAGGAAGGAAGGAAGGAAGGAAGGAAGGAAGGAAGGAAGGATAAAGCTGTGGACTGAAACCTGAGCTGCATTTCTGCATCCAAAAAAGTCTGGAAAGGGATTAGTGCACCTCAGACCTGGAGAACCAATCCCTATCAGTATCAGTCAAAGGGAATGGGACCAGAACCAGGCACAAGACTCAGCAATCCCAAACCTGGGATTGGGAACAACATTCCCAGGTTAAGGGACAACATTCCCAGCCCAGCGGGAGTCAGAGCCCTGTTCCACAGTGATGGCACCAATAATGGACCCCAGTAACAGCACAGAGCTGGTTCACATCTGTCAGGGTGAAACAACAGAGAAATCTGCAACCCAGAATTGATAATTAATAATAGATAATTAATCTCTACAGCCCCGTGAATACCCACAGTGAAAAGGAGAGGCTATCAGGAGGCATCAGCAATGCAACAAACTGAATAAATTGTTTTTATTATTATTTTTATTTATTATTATTTTAATTATAATAATATTTATTATTTTTATTATTTTAATTTCTCGCTTTCATGCCATTTTCCATCTTCATTTTCAGCTGTGACAAGACATAAAAAAAAGCCTGGTGTTTTTTTATGATTTCCTAAATGAATGACCCCATTTCCCCCAGCAGATCTATGGCATCCTGTTCTTTTTAATTTTTTTCTTCTCATTTAGCCTGTCTCTGTCAAGTGCTCTGTTAATATTTGATTTCTGCAGGGCCCAGGGAGTTCCTGTCATAAAGGAGATTTCTGTGGACAGATTTCTAAATGGGAGCTTTTGGGCCAAAAAATCTGCTCCAAATGATGGCATAAATATTACAGCTGGTCCTCAGTGTGAGATCTAATGGGGCTTTCAGTCTTTGAGGCAGATAAAAATAAATGCTCAGTGATGGATCTGTAAATGAAATAATCAGGTTTGTTTCCTGAGGGGCATCGAGGCTGAATCTGCTCCAGAAAGGTCTGGGAAGGTGGGAGCAAAGCAGGCAGTGGTCACTTTGTCAGGAGCTCTAATTCCCACTACAATCCAATCTAACATTTCCCCATATGGAAGAATTTCATTTTCCCCCATAATTCATTGCAGAGGAAGGAAAACTCCCAGGGAGATCCATCTGCAGCACTGGAAATCCCTGTTCAGGGGTGCCCAGTTTACAGGTGAGAAATGAAGGTCCAGGGAAAGGCTCAGTTAATTTCTCCAGAAATAAAACACAACTCCCCCTTTGTGCTGATGAATCATCCCTGGTTTAGTGACAAACCAAGCAGGAAAGGTTATTTTATTTCCCTAAGAACAGCTGGAGCCAATAGAAATTTTGAAGTCTATCTATTTTATTTATTTCTGCTCTGTGATTTGGCCCTAAATAACACTTTCAAGCTCTTTTTATGAGAGTGGAGTTTATTTCAGAGAAGAGAAGAGTAAAGGAGTGATATCAGGTGGGAGATTTTTGGGATTTCAGCCTCAGTCAGGGTCTGCAGGACAGGCCCATTCTCTCCAGGGAATCACTTGCTCTGATTGACACCTTGACCCAGCATAGTTTAGTTCAAACTGGAATTAAACCAGAAATAAAAGCTTACCCTATATTTACAAATATCCACACTAGGGATCATTCAGGAATAGCTGAATTAATGCCCTGACTTAGCAGAAAATTCCTCTCAGGGCATCTTTGCCATATCCATTAAAGCACTGGGAGAAGAGCACAGTAACCCAGGAGTAAAAGGGTTTATTTTAGAGAGCTGACTGCTCACAGCAGGGCTGAGCTCAGTCACTGCTCTGTTTCTCTTTGCACAGCAAATAGAACCCTCCTTTCCCAATTCCTGTGGAGAAAGAGCTCAGTTTATCTGGAATCCCCCTCCCTCAGCCCCAGGTGCCTCTGCAGTCACTGTCACACCTGCACAGCTCAGGCTGCCCATGGCTGTGGCTGAGCCATCATCATCACACTGTCCAAACATTTTGAGTTCCCACAAGTCTGTCCTTGCAGCTGAGTTTGCCTCTCCTGCAGTGATTTCTGGAGAAATCCAGGAATCCCTGGGCTGCCTGGAGCCCAGGGAAGAGCAGAGATTCTCCTGAAGAGAATCTGGGTATCTCCCTGCTCTGGGTATCCAGTCCTGTCCCAGGTGTCCATCCTTGCCCTGGGTGTCCATCCCTGCCCTGGGTGTCCATCCCTGCCCTGGGTGTCCATCCTTGCCCTGGGTGTCCATCCCTGCCCTGGGTGTCCATCCTTGCTCAGGGTGTCCATCCCTGCCTCAGGTGTCCATCCCTGCCCTGGGTGTCCATCCCTGTCCTGAGTGTCCATCTCTGCCCTGAGCGTCCATCCCTGTCCTGGGTGTCCATCCCTGTCCCAGGTGTCCATCCCTGCCCTGGGTGTCCATCCCTGTCCTGGATGTCCATCCCTGTCCCAGGTGTCCATCCCTGTCCCAGGTGTCCATCCCTGCCCTGGGTGTCCATCCCTGTCCCAGGTGTCCATCCCTGCCCTGGGTGTCCATCCCTGTCCTGGATGTCCATCCCTGTCCCAGGTGTCCATCCCTGTCCCAGGTGTCCATCCCTTCCCTGGGTGTCCATCCCTGCCCTGGGTGTCCATCCCTGCCCTGAGTGTCCATCCTTGCTCAGGGTGTCCATCCCTTCCCTGGGTGTCCATCCCTGCCCTGGGTGTCCATCCCTGCCCTGGGTGTCCATCCTTGCCCTGGGTGTCCATCCCTGCCCTGGGTGTCCATCCCTGTCCCAGGTGTCCATCCCTGTCCTGGGTGTCCATCCCTTCCCTGGGTGTCCATCCCTGTCCCAGGTGTCCATCCCTGTCCTGGGTGTCCATCCCTGCCCTGAGCGTCCATCCCTTCCCTGGGTGTCCATCCCTGCCCTGGGTGTCCATCCCTGTCCCAGGTGTCCATCCCTTCCCTGGGTGTCCATCCCTGCCCTGGGTGTCCAGCCCTTCCCTGAGTGTCCATCCCTGCCCTGGGTGTCCATCCCTGCCCTGGGTGTCCATCCTTGCTCAGGGTGTCCATCCCTTCCCTGGGTGTCCATCCCTGTCCCAGGTGTCCATCCTTGCCCTGGGTGTCCATCCCTGTTCCAGGTGTCCATCCCTTCCCTGGGTGTCCCTCCCTGTCCTGGGTGTCCAGCCCTTCCCTGCATGTCCATCCCTGTCCCGGGTGTCCATCCCTTCCCTGGGTGTCCATCCCTTCCCTGGGTGTCCATCCTTGCTCAGGGTGTCCATCCCTGCCCTGGGTGTCCATCCCTGCCCTGAGTGTCCATCCCTGTCCTGAGTGTCCATCCCTTCCCTGGGTGTCCATCCCTGCCCTGGGTGTCCATCCCTGCCCCAGGTGTCCATCCTTGCCCTGGGTGTCCATCCTTGCTCAGGGTGTCCATCCCTGCCCTGGGTGTCCATCCCTGCCCTGGGTGTCCATCCCTGTCCCAGGTGTCCATCCCTGTCCCAGGTGTCCATCCCTTCCCTGGGTGTCCATCCCTGCCCCAGGTGTCCATCCCTGTCCCGGGTGTCCATCCCTGCCCTGGGTGTCCCTCCCTGTCCTGGGTGTCCATCCCTGCCTCAGGTGCTCATCCCTGTCCCAGGTGTCCAGTCCTCCCCTGGGTGTCCAGCCCTTGCTGGCACTCATTCCAGGCTGGGGTTTGGAGCCCGTGCAAGCTGCAGAGCAGGCAGCTCCCCTGCTCCTGGCTGCCCATCTGGGAAGCCAAACAGAGCAGGACTCGCTCAGGATCGGATGAAGGAAATCCAGGGAAAGTCCCGTTCTCAGCAGCCCGACCCAGACCTCGTGCTCGGGAGGTGACCCCGGTGCCCGGCCAGCTCCTGCTCCACCTGTGGAGCTGGAGAGGGGAGGGACGGCAGCGCCCTTGTCCCACCTGGGCCTCCTCCAGCGCCAAGGGGTGACCCGGGGCCACCCGTGCTGTCCCCACGGGAGCCATCCCAGCCCCAGGTCCCGCTGCCTTGGGGACACACCGGACACAGCTCCTGCCCTTCCCTGGCTCTTGCTGGGCATTCCCTCCCCTTCCCCGTCCCCAGCGTTAGGCCGGAGGCACAGAGGGACCCCCAGCGCCCCCAGCCCCCCCAGCCCCCGGTCCCCACTCACCGCGGGGCTGCGGCGGGGCCCCGCAGGCGGCCGGGCTGTGCAGGAGCAGCAGCAGCGAGAGCAGCAGGGCACAGCAAATCCTGGCCATGGCTGAGCCGGGCTGCGAGTGCGGGGCAGAGCGCTGGCCCCGAGTATTAACCTGCCCTTCTGCGGAGGCTCCGAGCCAGCCCCTGACACGGCGGGGCCGGGGGGGCAGCGAGGGGAGAGGGGCAGGGAGAAGGAGCAGGAGGAGATGCTGCTGCAGGGTGGGGAGGGGGCGATGCCCAGCCCTGCCCTGCCCCCGGGGCCCCAGCCCCCCACAATGGCCCCATTGCTGCCGAGGGCACGGGGAGCTCTGGGGAGCGGGGGAAGGTGGGGAATGCGGGGCTGGAACAGTGGCAGCACTGAGAGCAGCCCTGGGAGGGGCTGTCCGCCGGCAGGGCAGGGGAACAGGGCCGGGGGGACAGCGAGGGGACAGCGGCGGCGCCACACGGTCCCCTGTCAGCCCCCGCTGTGCCAAGGGCAGGACAGCATCCTGCGGGACCAGGGGCTCTGCTCAGAGCAGCAGCACAGAGAGGCACAGCAAAACAGAGGGCTCAGGGTGCCAGGGTACAAGGTTCGTGTCCTTCCCCTGCCAGGGCCCAGGGAGGGGACAGTGCCAGTGTCACACGGTCCCCTCTCAGTCCCCGCTGTGCCAAATCCGGGACAGCATCCTGCGGGACCAGGGGCTCTGCTCAGAGCAGCAGCGGAGAGAGGCACAGCAAAGCAGAGGGCTCGGGGTGCCAGGCTCGTGTCCTTCCCCTGGCAGAGCCCAGCGAGGGGACAGCGGCAGCGTCACACGGTCCCCTCTCAGTCCCACCTGTGCCAAGGGCAAGGCTGGAGATCCCTTTGGGATCCCTGCCTTTGGGGAAGGCTCAGAGCAGCAGTGGAGAGAAGCACAGCAAAGCAGAGGGCTCGGGGTGCCAGGCTTGTGTCCTTCCTCCTGCAGAGCCCAGGGAGGGGACAGTGCCAGCGTCACACGGTCCCCTCTCAGTCCCCCTGTGCCAAGCCCAGGACAGCATCCTGTGGGACCAAGGGCTTTGCTGCCCTCAGAGCAGCAGAGGAGAGGCTCAGGAAGGCAGAGGAGGGTTTGGGAGCACGGTGACAATCTGCGATGCAGAAGAATTTTCCTTCAGGGAACAGGCGCTGCTCTGTGTGGCTGAGCTCCTGTGAGCAGAGCGGGCTCCACAGCCCACAGCAGACAAACAGGAGAGGCTGGGGACGGACAGACAGACAGCTGCGGGCTTTGACTGAGCTGGCAGTGCAGCGTTCAGCTCCGCACACACGAGGGAGATGCAGCTCCTGACAGAAAGCCACCAGTCCCGATCAGCCTCCAAGGCTGAGGGTGCTGCAAATGAGGCGAAATTTCCTTTGTGGAGGAGCAGCAGGGAGATTTGGGAGCGGGGGAAGAGAGATCTAATGATGGATTTGTCACAAAGCAGTGCATCTTTTCCTGGTTTTTTAACGACTGTTTTACACTGCTGTCACTTGATTAAAGCCCTGCTCCTCGCATGGATTGGGTTCTGCTCACCTTTTCCAGCAGCACATCCTTGGATCCCTCATCCATTTAATCTGCATTGTGTGAGTGCAGGGCCATGCAAAGTACCTTTAACTCAAAGCACACTTTCTCTTCCCTTATCCAGAGTCTTTCTTCCAAAAGCTCTTCAGCAGCTTGGGAGCTCCCTGGGAGAAAGGCTCTTTGATGAGGGGAAAGAAGGACCTGTCCTCACTGAAGCTCCCAGGCCCCTCTTAATTCTTTAACATTAAACATTTTAATTAAAATATCAAAATCTGGCAATGTTCTCATGCAAAATCAGCATGGAATTGTCCCACTGTCTCCCACAGCATCAGTCCCAGGCTTTCAGCCAGCTCTGGAGCTGACAGATTTTCAGCCAGGAGGAGGAAATGCTGCAGGTGAGGATGGAGCAGCTGTACCATGAGGAGGGGGTGGAAGGATTTGGATTGCTCAGCCTGGAGAGGAGAAGGTTTGTGGTGACCTCATTGGGACCTTCTGGTGCCTGAAGGAGCTGCAGGAAAGATGGAGAAAGACTTTGGACAAGGGATGGAGGGACAGGACACGGGGAATGGCCTCAAACTGAAAAAGAGTAGGATTGGATGGGATATTGTGATGGAATTGTTCCCTGGCAGGGTGGGCAGGGGCTGGGCTGGAATTGCCAGAGCAGCTGGGGCTGCCCCTGGAGCCCTGGCAGTGCCCAAGGCCAGGCTGGACATTGGGGCTGGCAGCACCTGGCACAGTGGGAGGTGGCCCTGCCATGGCAGGGCTGGCACTGGGTGGGGTTTAAGGTCCCTTCCACCCCCTTCCCTTCCTCTGTGGATGCTTTCATGGTTATATTTATAAAATCAGGGATTTAGGGCAGTGCAAACACAGCAATCCCCTCACGTGTTCACACGCACAGAGTTTGCTCCCCAAATACATAAAACTGCCCCCATCCATTTATGACTGTCAGGACCCAGAGTGAAATAAAAGCCTGAAATTTGGGAGATTTTGCCCTGGACCCGTCTGGGCTGGGGTTTCTCCTGTTTTCCTGCCCTGCACACAAGGATCTCTTGGTGCAGACAGCACTTGCTCCCCATGAATGGGGATCATTCAGAGCCCTCTGTAAATGAAGCCTCTATGGCTGTTCTTGCGGGGAAAATATAAAGTTGCTCTGTGTCATTCTGCTGTTAATTAGCAAAGATAAATACATTTCAGGTGGATATTTTCACCAGCAGAGCTTGTGGCACACAAGCAGCATTAAAGCTTTGAAAAAGGGGCGAGAGGCAAAGGTGTGCTGGGAGCTCTGGGGCTGCATTGACGCCTCTGGAAAAGCAGTGTTTATTTTTAAAATATGAAACATCATTTCTCCCCAGGCCCCTGAGAAGGAGAACACTGGAGTCAATATTTCAGGAGGAAAATATGCATTTTGAGCTCTTCCTCAGCCTCCTGCAAGGTAAACACACGAACTGTGAACGGCCCGTGCTGGCCCCAGCGTGGCCCTGCTGCTGTTGTGGCCTTCACATGTCCTGGCAGGGGGAGGCTTTGCCTCTCCTCCAACAGCCTCAAACCCATGGGCCCTGACTCCAAAAGTGATGCTCTAATGTGGAAACCCAGGGCACTGGGAATATTTCTCTGTCTGCTCTGTCCTGACCCCCAGAGCAGCACTGACTTTGACCCTCATCCATGGAGAAAGTTTCCCAGACTTCAAGATCAACTGGAAACCACAAAAGTGTGAAATAGATTATAGAGAGTAGTGTAGGTGGATCACTTGGTGAGAAATTTGGGTTTTGGGATTTTAGTATGTTGTGGATGGAAGCAAGATGGAGGGCACAGGGTGTTGTCCTGGGTTTCTTCTTCATACTTCTTCTTCCTCCTTCTTCATGGGTGGCATTTGGTAATTGGGCAGAAAAGTCCCATTGCAGGCTCTTTGGGATCAGTTATTGGGTTAAAAGGGAAAATAATCCAGGTGTCAGTTCTTAATTGGATAGTTTAGTCTTAAAAGACCTTGGAATCAGAGATTGTTGGCCATTTTGTGCCTTCTAATGAAAAGGTGCCAAACTCACAGCAGTGACACTGTTTTACTGATCAGAAGTAATAAACACCTGAGTCCCAACATGAACTGCTGTCTCAAGTGCCTTCAATGCAGACCCAGAGAAACCCACAACTGGTGTCCCGCCACTCTAAAACACCAAATCCTCCCTTTCCTTCCACTGATGGAGAACCAGAAAATTTTGGTGCCACCTTGCTCCTGCTGGAGGCAAAAGGTTCAGAGTCCCCCATGCTGGGCATTGGTGAGGTCACACCTCAAATTTTGGGGGCAGTTTTGGAAAAGAAGGACCTGGAGGGGCTGAAGAGTGTCCAGGGAAGGGAACGGAGCTGGGAAGGGTCTGGAGCCCCAGGAGAGGCTGAGGGAGCTGGGCAGGGGCTCAGCCTGGAGCAAAGGAGGCTCAGGGGGCCCTTGTGGCTCTGCACAGCTCCTGCCAGGAGGGCACAGCCGGGGGGGCCGGGCTGTGCTCCAGGGAACAGGGACAGGAGCAGAGGGAACGGCCTCAGGCTGGGCCAGGGCAGGGTTTGGGTATTTGGGAACATTTTCTCAGGAAAAGGGTTGTGAAGCATTGGCTCAGGTGGAATCAAAGAAGTGCTGGAGTCCCCACCCAAGGAATGTCCTAAGAGGCCATGGAGGTGGCCCCTGGGGACACGGTCAGTGGTGGCTGTGGTGGTGTTGGGGGACAGAAGGATTTGGTGATCCCAGAGGTCCTTTCCAGCTGAGGAATTCTGTGATTCCAAGATTCCAGTGTGAGCTCAGGAGCTGCAGTTTGTCCTCCCCAGCATGGACAGCTGGGAATCATCATCTGCACCCAGGCAGGACAGAGCTTTGGGTTCCCCTCACTTCCAAAGCTCTGCAAGATTCCCCAAATTCCTCATGGTTTCCTCATGGTTCTGGTTGTCCTTCGGCTCCTCTGTTGTTTTCCAGACAAATTTCCTGGTTTGCAAATCCCTGGTTTGCCAATTCCCCATGGTAGAATTCCACACTGCTGGACCCCTTCCCCTCTAAAGTGCCAAATCTGCCAGTCTTGGGGCAGGGAAAGCAAAGCCCAGCTTAAGAATAAGTCCTGAAAGCACTAAAATGAAAACATTAAAGCAAAATTAAAGCTGGGAGAGGTGGCAACTCCTCATTTGTCATCACACAAATAACTGATGGAATGAATTATGTAAATGAAGATCTTCCTCCATCACAGCCCTTCCCAGAAATGCTGATCAGCTGGGAAAAGCTGGGAAAAACAATAATGGATTTTCCATGGGACTGGAAATTCTTGTTTAGAAGCAGCATTGCACTCATGCCATTTGTTCTGCTCGAGTTTTAGTTCAAAAGTGCATTTTAGCTTTGGATTTCCCTATTTCCAGTAGACACTCCTGACTGCATTCAATATCTCCCTGTAAACTTCACCCTGCAGTGAGCCCAAGTGTTAAAATCAAAATGCAGCAGCAGTCCCTGAGGCACTGCTGTGGAACTGACCCAGAAAAATGGGAAGGTTTTCTTGGGGGGAAAAAAGGGAAATCAGGGATCTCAAGACATTCCCAAACTTCCAGTGGAGCTCCAGCAGAAGGCAGGATTAGGAAATCATGTCAGGTTGGACCAGGAGAGGTTTTAAATGGATACTGATAAAAATTTCATCATGGAAAGGATGAAATTTTCATCATGGTCAGGAATTGGCACAGGCTGCCCAGGGCAATGGTGGAAGCAAATCCTTGGAATTGCTCAAAAAATGTGTGAATTGGGCATTTTGGGCATTTTAAGATGTGGTTTAGTGCTGACCATGGCTGGACATGAGGATCTAAAGGTTTATTCCCACCTTAACAATGCCATGAGTTAAATACTGGGTTTTTCTTTATTCTTTGTAGCCCTGGACCAGAAATTCTTCTCCAAAGGGATCTGGAGGGTGCCTGAGTCCCACAGATGAGGCAGAATGAAAAGGCTGGGAAGGGAGCAGCAGCCAAACTCTGAGTTGTTTGCTGTTGGTTCTTATTTCATTCTAAACAAACCTTGGACTTGTAGTAAACACAGCTCTGCTGCCCTCCAGCCTCCAGAAAGCTCCAAGGTTTTACAAAATGGTCTGTAATTTCTGCCTGTTTCTGGTTTCCTTTGATGTCCCAGGTGAGTGTTCCAAGCTGGATTCCCAGCTCCACTTTTCACCCACACAGAAATGATGACAAAAGCTCCAATTCTTGTGTTTCACCCCCACAGTGTTTCTATTTCACTTTGAGGGATGGAGGGACCCCTCCCAACCTCCTGCATCCCCATTTCCCACCCTGGCAATGTGGAATTACAGCAGTGGGGGCAGAGCAAAGCATCCAACAAATGATGCAAAGGAAAAGCTGGGGAGGCAGGAGTGGCTTTGAAAATAACCCCTGCACCGAGTCAGGATCAAAGGAATTTCTGTTTATCCTTCCAGCTGCAAAGAGCTAGCAAATATCCCTGGGGCTGCTGCTGGAAATAGCAAATGCTGTTTATGGCTGGGCCTTGTTTGTGTGTTTTATGGGTCACACTTATTTCACAGGGATTACTTTTTGTTTGTTCCCCGTGCCCACAGCTTCCCCTGGGACTGAGCTGCCTCCTGGGCACGGTTCCTGCCTCTCCTGCTGGCCACCTGCAGGGCTCTGCTCCTCCATCCCTGCCTGCATTTCTGCACCTGTGCAATTCCTCACTTCTGGCCTGGACCAGGAGGCCCTGAGGTTGTTTCTGTGCTAAAAACGGCTGGGATGGCACCAGAACTTTGTGCAATTTTGGGTGGCACATTAGAAAAAAGGTCTAAAGGTGTTAGAGAGTAGCAAAGAAGGGACATGGATATGGGGAAGCATTTGGAGGAGCAGCTGAGGGCACTTGGAGTGTCCAGCTGGAGCAAAGAGCTCAGGGATCTGCAGCTCCTCCCGAGGGGCAGCTCCCATCCCTGCTCTGGGCCAGGGACAGCAGCCAGGGCACGGCTGGAGCTGGGCCAGGGCAGCTTAGGCTGGAGCTCAGGGCAAGGCTCTTCCCCCAGAGGGTGCTGGGCACTGCCCAGGCTGCCCAGGGAATGGGCACGGCCCCGAGGCTGCCAGAGCTCCAGGGATGCCCAGGCTGGGCTTGCTGGGGGTCTGGCAGGGACAGGGTTGGATCCATGATCCTGTGGGTCCCTCCCCACTCAGGATATTCCAATATTTGATGATCCTATGAAAGAACAGCAGGATAAGATTCACCAGTTGCAAATGTGGTCACTGTGTAGGCAGTTCCTTTTCTCCAAGGGGAATGACCCCAAACACCTGGTGGATCAAGGCAAGGTACACAAAAGCCCCAGGAATCAGAGGATCCCAGAATCCTGGGGTAGTTTGGGCTGGAAGGGATCTTAAAGCCCATGCAATGCCACCTCCTGCCATGGTAGGGTCACCTTCCACTCTCCCAGGTTGCTCCAAGCCCATCCAAAATCACTGTAAAATGCTTCCATTGGCAGGAATGTTCTACAAAATCCTCTTTTCCACTGGAGCTTTTGCTGGGTGGAAAAGCCACAGGGAATTTAATGGTCATCCCTGGAGTCCAGGAACATCTCAGACTCCAAGAGATGTTGTTGGTTCATTCAAGACCCTCTCATTTATGTGTGCTGAGATCCTCAGCTCAATCATCAGCTTAATCTTCTCCTACACCAGAGAAGTGCTGCTCATTTCTCCTCTGCCCTGACTAAATCCAGCTTGGAGCAGCACTAAGATCTTTGCGTGAGCTGGGCCTGGGCTGGGGACACATCCATAAATCAGTTTGGAGAAGCCAAACCAGAATAACAGGGGCATTTAAAAGGGTCTTTTCTCAGTCTCCAGCCCAGCCCTGGTGGGGCTGTGGTGGGGCTCAGGAGCAGCCTGGGCCAGGCTGGGCTCAGTTTGTGTTGGCCGAGCCCTGTGGCATTTCAGAAACCCAAGCCCACGTCCTGTCTGCAGCTCAGCCCTGGCCTGGCTGGGAACTCACAATAAATCCACACATTTTATCAGGGCTGGGGAAACTGGAATGCTGGAATGCTGAACCCTGGAGGGAAAGCTCTGCCCCAGGCAGGAGATGGGCTGGCTTGGTTAGAGCCAGGCTCAATTAGACCAGGTGTGAACCCACACTGAAACCAGCCCCAGCTCTGCCAGACACGTCCTGGCCATTTTTTAGCTACTGCAGCTCTATTATCAAAGCCAATTAAAGCAAGAGGCCCAGGGACTGATTTACCCTGCTGCAGCCACTCAACAGCCAGGAACATTCCCCATTATGAGCAGGAATTTAATTAGAGAGAGCATCTGAACCACTGAAAGAGGCGGAGGAGGGGTTTGAACAGGATTTAGCAGGACCACACTGAGCAGCCCTCCTCTGGTTTGGAAACCAAGAAAATTGCCAACATTTCACATTTGGGCAGCCCCAGTTAATGGGGTTTTGGTGGGAGGAGCCTGGTCAGATGTCCCAGAGCTGTCCCACAGCATCCCAGGCTCTGACAAGGAATATTTAGGGCAGGATGTGCTTTTCCAAAGGGAAGGCCCACACTGAGGCCTCCTCCAGGCCTGGCTTGGAGCAGCCAAGAAGGGAAATGAGAACGGCTCCAGCACTCAGCCTGGTTCCATGGCTGTGACCAAGAGGAGAAGTGTGGAATGTTCTGTCCCAGAGCTGTCCCACAACATCCCAAGCTCTGATAAAGAATGTTTAAGGCAGGATGTGCTTTTCCAAAGGGAATCTCCACCATGACTGCCCATCCCCAGGCCTCCTCCAGGCCTGGCTTGGAGCAGCCAAGGAGGGAAATGAGGGCAGCTCCAGCACCCAGCCTGGTCCCGTGGCTATGACCAAGAGCAGAAGTATGGAATGTTCTGTCCCACAGCATCCCAGGCTCTGATATGGAATATTTAGTGCTTTTCCAAAGGGAAGGCCCACACTGAGGCCTCCTCCAGGCCTGGCTTGGAGCAGCCAAGGAGGGAAATGAGAACGGTCCCAGCGCCCAGCCTGGTTCTCATGGCTGTGAGCAAGTGATCTGTAGAATGTTCAGAAACCAATTAATAATTCAGAGATCACATTTAATCTCTCCACAGAGTAAAGCAGGAAACTGGGCTGGGCCTTGCTGCAAGGATTTGGGCTCTCCTGCGAAGTTTCCTGGTGGCATTTCGAGTTGCTCTCTTGCTCTTTGGTTACAGTTAAACAATTGGCAGACGCGGGGGCAGAAAATTTATTTTCTCCTAGGAGAATTTGAGTGGTTTGAGCTTTTGGGGGGATTTCTGAGCATGTTTAAAAGTGCTGGAACCACTGAGATGTCATCTGGGGCACCCTTCCAGACTCCAGGTCTGCTGTGGAGCATCCTGGTGCCCAGAACAAGGATATGGAGCACAGAAAAATGGAATTATCCTCCCTTAATGGGAAAATCAGCTGGAAAATATACAACCAACATTATCCTCTCCATCCCCATTACAGAAATGCACATTGAGTAAAAAGAGCAGGGGCAGCAGCACATTTCTTATTCATCCTCTGCAAATATCCCATTGAAGTTTGCTGATAAATATTCCATTGAAGCCTGGTTTGTGCTGGTTCAGAGTGGAGCAGCCCCCCCAGGCTGTGATCTGAGCTCTGCATGAGGCTGGAATGGAGACTTTATTTAAGACTGAGAAAACCCCACTTTTATCCCACCGTGATGTTTGAAAAGAGCAGGAAATTATCCCGAAAGGGGAGCAGGTGTGGAATTCCAGGGACATCAGCAGCGCCATCGGTGACATCTGCAGGGCCTGAGCTGTGCAGAGTCACTGGTGAACAGGCCACAGATCCTTATCACTGCTGATAAGGCAGAGAGGCAGATTTTGAGAGGAAATTGCATGAGAAATATCAGCTTTTCCTTTGCAAGCAGCACAAGCATGAGAAAGATCAGGCCAAGGTCAAAGCACCATTTTTTGCTCACTAATGTTTTTTAGAAATCAAATTATTTCTCCCTTCGCTCAACAATCAGACACGCTCTGAAACCAGACTCACAGTTTGGAAGCCATTAACATTTTTATTTTAATTGAAACTCATCTTCCAAGTGACATAAAAGCACAGAAAAATGCACCCACTCAGGTATGAAATGGCAGAGCTGGATATTCTGGGTTGTGTCAATCACCACAAGCAGACAGGGTGAGAGCTGCAATTCCTGGGGAATTTTTGGCTGATCCCTTTGCTGTAGGAATTCTGCTGGAGGAGCTGCAGGGCTGGGTTATCCCAGAGAAAATTCCTTCCCTGTTCATCCCTGTCATAGTTTGACATGGGATTTCCATGTCCCATTGAAAATTTCCATGTCCCATGGAACATTTCCATTTCCATGGAGCATTTCCATTTTCCTTCCACGTCCCATGGAACATTTCCATTTCCATGGAACATTTCCATTTTCCATTTTGGCCAGAGGGACTGATAGGGGACTGATCCAACCCACCAAGAGGACTTTTCTGAGTTTGTCATCTCTTTTGGAGTGGCAAGAAGTTTTGTTGTTTAATATTGTTAATTTTTTGTGCTGATGAATGCTTTGCCTATTAAATAAACAGTTTTTTCCCACTTTTCTCAAGGAAATATTTTTCCTGAGCCAGTTAGGGGAGGAACCACTTGAATTTGTTTTTCTAGAAGAAACCTCTTTAGAAGTTTTTCTCCCAAAGTTGCCCTAAACCAGGACCATCCCTTAATCCCACTTGCTAAAGGTTTCCCTGCTCAGCCAGAGGAGAGCCACCATGGCACAGGGCAAAGCTGGCAGGGCTCAGGCCAGCCCTGAACCCACAGCAGCCAAATCCCAGATTCCAGGGGTGGCAACCAGAGCCAGAGTCAGGAAATTGGGGTGCCAGACTCAGGAACTTGGGGTGCCAGAGTCAGGAAATTTGGGTGCCAGAGTCAGGAAATTGGGGTGCCAAGGTCAGGAAATTGGGGTGCCAGGGTCAGGAAATTGGGGTTCCAGAGTCAGGAACTTGGGGTGCCAGGGTCAGGAAATTGGGGTTCCAGAATCAGGAATTTGGGGTTCCAGAATCAGGAACGTGGGGTACCAGAAACAGGAAATTAAGGTGACAGGGTCAGGAAATCAAGGTGCCAGAGTCAGGAAATTGAGGTGCCAGGGTCAGGAAGTTGGGGTGCCAGAGCAGGACAAGACTCCAGCAGTTCCCTGGCAGGATGTGGCTGGGAAAGGCTGGGAACTGCTCTGGGTGAGCACTGGGGCTCTGCTGGGAGAGGCAGCAGCAGCACCCAGGGTCAGCTCCCCCCAGGCTGGGCTCAGATGGCCACGTAGGGAGGGGGACAATCCTTGGAAGGCAATTCCAGGGCTTCCTCATAGGATGGCAGCACGGCCTGGAAGAGATCAAAGGTTATGGGATCGCAGGGAATTCATCCTGGAGTTCATTAGGAGTTAGAAATTGAACTTAAAGTAGAAACTAATTTTAGATTCAGCTGAAAAGTGCTGTTTCAACTTTTTTAGTCAATAGCTTGCTAAATGTATTTAATCTACTAACTTACTGTGCTCATAAAAAACCTACAGAAAAAAAAACCAAAAAAACCTAAAGTTACTTAAAAAAATACAAGTTTCTAATCTAAAGGGAGATAAGGAGGGGCCCCACTGACCTTAAAAAGAAAACTAAGGCTGAGTTGCAGACACAGCGACGTTACTAGAGAGCTGCACAGGCTCATAAAAACTGATGAGACAGTTTTAATATTAAATGGGGCTAGGAAATAAATATGCATGAACCTATCGTGAAACTTTATGCATATGCAACAGGTTAGGGGATAAACTAGACTCAGGAATTCTCAGAGGTACACGTGTCCTTTGGGGGAGCTATCCCACATGTGACCAACCCTGAAAGAAATCAGACCAACTTTACAACTTTTACACATTGTAGAGTTGGTTTTTACTGCAAATCATGGTTCCTCTGCCTGGTTCCAAGCAGGGACAAAGAACTGCTTGGGATTTAGGGCACAAAGGGCAGAAATCCAGCAGGGTTTGGATGCAGCTTGTGCCAGTGCTGCCCCCATTCCCTGGACAATGAATAGCCCAAGGCTCCAGAATGTGCAGAATCCCAGCCTCATTCCCAAGGAAAGCTGAGGAATTTTGCGGAGGGGCACAGCTGGGGCACTGCTGCTGGCAAGGGAGGGCCCAGCAGATTGGCTGAGATAAAAGCCAAACCACAGCATTCCCCATCCCTCAGCATTCCCTACCCTCAGCATTCCACATCCCCTCACCATTCCCTATCCCTCACCATTCCCTATCCCTCAGCATTCCCCATCCCTCAGCATTCCCTACCCTCAGCATTCCACATCCCTCACCATTCCACATCCCCCATATTCCCTACCCTCAGCATTCCCTATCCCTCAGCATTGCACATTCCTCAGCATTCCCTATCCTCTCAGCATTCCCTATCCCTCACCATTCCCTATCCCTCACCATTCCACATCCCCCATATTCCCTACCCTCAGCATTCCCAATCCCTCAGCATTCCCTATGCCTCAGCATTCCCTACCCTCAGCATTCCACATCCCCTCACCATTCCCTATCCCTCACCATTCCCTATCCCCTCAGCATTCCACATCCCTCACCATTCCCTATCCCTCACCATTCCCTATCCCCTCAGCATTCCCTACCCTCAGCATTCCCTATCCCCTCAGCATTCCCTATCCCTCAGCATTCCCTATCCCTCAGCATTCCACATCCCTCACCATTCCCTATCCCCTCAGCATTCCCTATCCCTCACCATTCCCTATCCCTCACCATTCCCTATCCCCTCAGCATTCCCTATCCCTCAGCATTCCCTATCCCCTCAGCATTCCCCATCCCTCACCATTCCCTATCCCTCAGCATTCCCTATCCCTCACCATTCCACATCCCTCACCATTCCACATCCCTCACCATTCCCTATCCCCTCAGCATTCCACATCCCTCACCATTCCCTACCCTCAGCATTCCCTATCCCTCAGCATTCCACATCCCCCAGTATTCCCTACCCTCAGCATTCCTTATCCCTCAGCATTCCACATCCCTCAGCATTCCCTACCCTCAGCATTCCCTATCCCTCACCATTCCCCATTCCTCACCATTCCCCATTCCTCAGCATTCCCTATCCCTCACCAGTCCCTACCCTCAGCATTCCCTATCCCTCAGCATTCCCTATCCCTCACCATTCCCTATCCCTCAGCATTCCCTATCCCCTCAGCATTCCCCATTCCTCACCATTCCCTATCCCCTCAGCATTCCACATTCCTCACCATTCCCTATCCCCTCAGCATTCCATCCCTCACCATTCCCCATTCCTCAGCATTCCCTACCCCCATCATTCCATCCCCTCAGCATTCCCTACCCTCAGCATTCCATCCCTTTAGCATTCCCTACCCTCAGCATTCCATATTCCTCAGCATTCCCATTCCTCAGCATTCCCTACCCCCATCATTCCATCCCCTCAGCACTCCCTATCCTTCAGCATTCCCTACCCTCAGCATTCCATCCCCCAGCATTCCATCCCCCAGCATTCCCTATCCCTCACCATTCCCCATCCCTCAGCATTCCATACCCTCAGCATTCCATGCCCTCAGTATTCCATACTCTCAGCATTCCATCCCCCAGCATTCCCTATCCCTCACCATTCCCTATCCCCCAGTATTCCATGTCCCACCCATCCATACAACACTGAAAATCCCATCGTCTCGGAAGAAAAGTGAAGAAAAAGCTGATTTTAAACACTTTTAGCTATGGAAACCAAAGTCCCACTGGAATTGCCCCCAAATTCCTGGGTCAGGGATCACAGGGAATCCATTCCCATTTATCTGCTGTGCCTGACTTTCACCTTCTTTGCACATTGATTTTAAAGATTTTATGCAGAAAATAAAGAAGTAAAATTAAATGGATATATTGTAATTAAAAGCTGATTATTACCACTTGCTACTGGGGATTTAAAGGGTTGGAAATTCTCTCAGATCCCAAAAAAGCAGAGATAAGGATCACCAGTCTGGAGGATTCCTGTTCACGGAATAAATTCACTTTTTCTCACCTCTCCCACTGCTTATGAGTCCATTTTCAGGAATAAATTCACTTTTATGCCCCTTTTCCACTTCTTGTGGAAGAGGAAGTGCAATTCCTGGGGAAATTTTGGCTGATCCCTTTGCTGTAGGAATTCTGCTGGCAGAGCTGCAGGGCTGGGTTATCCCAGAGAAAACTCACTTTTCCACTGCCTGTGGCTCCACTTCCAGGAATAAATTAATTTTTTCTCACCTTTTCCACTGTTTTGCGTCCACTTTCAGGGGTAATTCACTTTTCCTCACCTTTTCCACTGTTTTGGGTCCACTTTCAGGGGCAAATTCACTTTTCCTCACCTTTTCCACTGTTTTGGGTCCACTTTCAGGGGCAAATTCACTTTTCCTCACCTTTTCCACTGTGTGTGGCTCCACTTTCACCTCCTCCCTCCTGCTGGCTTTGATGAACTTGAAGCAGCTCAGGACACACTTGAACATGTAGGCCTGGAAAAGAGGGAAAAGGGAAGGAAAAGGGCATTTTCCCATGGCACTGCAGGGCAAAAAGGGAATTTCCCCTTTTGCCACCAGCCTGGGATTTTCCTGCTCTTTTCTTGGGAGAGAGAAGTTTGGGACCACAATCCCAGGGCCTTAAATCAGAGTCTCCATCCTTCCCTGGGAATGTGATGATTCCATGAATTCAGAACAGCACTGGGTGGGACTGGGATCAATAATTCAGTAAATATGAAGTGATTAAACACAAACCCCATTCAACTCAGCACTGAGAGCTCTGAGAGCACAATATCCTGAGCAGGAAAGGAAAGCATGGCCTTGATGTCATTTTCCAGAGCAGATTATAAAGTCTGGATTCCATGAATTCAGAAAAATAAAAGTAATATAAAGTGATTCATTAATAGAAATAGAAATTTATAAAAATATAAATTGATTAAAGTGATTCATTCCATGAATTCAGAAGAACACTGGGATGGGACGGGGATCAATAAAATAAATAAGTAAGTAAATAAAAAGTGATTAAACATAAATCCATTAAAACACAACATTGAGACCTCTGATATCACAATATCCCAAGGTAGGAAAGGAAATTGCGGTTTTGATGCCACTTTTTGGAGCAGGTTATGAAGTCTGGATTCTATGAATTCAAAACACTGAGGTGGGACTGGAAATCCAGTAAAATAAAAAATGATTAAACATAAAATAATGGGACTGGGATCAACAATCCAGTAAATATAAAGTGATTCATCATAAAATCCATTAAAACACAACATTGAGACCTCTGAGATCACAATATCCCAGGTTAGGAAAGGAAATCGTGGCTTTGATGTCATTTTCCAGAGCAGGTTATGAAGTCTGGATTCTGTGAATTCAACACACTGAGATGGGACTGGAAATCCAGTAAATATAGAATGATTAAACATAAAATAATCCCATTCCAACTCTGGGATGGGACTGGGATCAATAATCCACTAAATATAAAGGGATTAAACATAAAATCCATTAAAACACAACACTGGACACCTCTGAGATCACAATATCCCTAGGTAGGAAAGGAAATTGTGGCTTTGATGCCATTTTTCTGAGCAGATTATGAAGTCTGGATTCCATGAATTCAAAACACTGAGGTGGGACTGGAAATCCAGTAAATATAAAATGATTAAACATAAAATAATGGGACTGGGATAAATAATCCAGTAAATATAAAAGGATTAAACATAAAATCCATTAAAAACTCAACATTAGACACCTCTGAGATCACAATATCCCCAGGTAGGAAAGGAAATCGTGGTCTTGATGCCATTTTTCAGAGCAAGTTACAAAGTCTGATGCCTCAGGAAAGCACCAGAGGCACCACAGAGATCCAAGGATTGCCCCAAAAATCCCTTCATTCAGCAAAATCCCATTTTTGCACTTCCCTGACAGGACCTCCTGGCACCCCACGGGTTTATCCATGCAATAAATGGATATTTATCCATGCAATAAATGGATGTTTATCCATTTCTGAGGAAAAAGGGCTGATTGAGGGGCTGTGGCCCAGGGAAATAAGCGGGGTCTGTGGGGCTGGCCCTGTTAAATCAATATTTTCCCTGCTCTGAGCAGCACCAGTCGTGTGCCTGGTGTTTGTGTTGGCCTGGGAAGGGGCTGGGAGCAGTTGGGATTTCCAGGGAACACAGGGAGCCACAGATCCCAAAGCAGGGCTGTGCAGCTGAGCATGCCCAGGACAATGAGGGCTCTTTGTGCTGGCCCCAAGCCAAGAGAAAGAGAAACAAATGAATGAAATATCTGAGGTGAAAAAATCCATCTCGACATTGCAGAGATCGGAGGCAAATCCAGACTTTGGGCATCTTTTGGGAATGTTGCAAAACCCTTCCTGCTTCCAAAGCCTCTTCATGCAGGGAGCAAACCTGGAGCTGCCATAGAAACTGGGCAGAAACCTCCACTCATCCATGGGGAAAAAACCTAGAAATCTGAAAAATCTAAAAAATAAATCTAAGAAATGAATAAAAACTACACAGCAAAGGAATTCACTCCCTGATTTTGGTTTTCAAATAAAAACTACACAGAAAAATGATGCACTCTCTAATTTTGGTTTTGAAATAAAATCATACAAAGGACTTCATTATTCCCTGATTTTGGCTTTGAAATAAAATTGTACAACAGAAGAATGCATTCCTCAATTTTGCTTTTGAAGTATATAAAAGTCACTCAACGAAGGAATGCATTCCTTGATTTTGGTTTTGAAATAAAATCATACAAAGGATTTTATTCCCTGATTTTGGTTTTGAAAATAAAATCATACAACAGAGGAATGCATTCCTCAATTTTGGTTTTGACATATATAAAAATCACTCAATCAAGGACTACATTCCTTGATTTTGGTTTTAAAATACATCAAAATCATACAATAAAGGAATGCATTCCCCCATTTTGGTTTTGAAATAAATTAAAATCATACAACAAGGAATGCACTTCCCAATTTTGGTTTTAAAATAAATCAAAATCACAAGGAATATTTTATTCCCCTTAATTTCTGCTTTTTTATCCCCGTGGGGCTGGAGGTCTTTATGACTCCAAAGTGAGATAAAGATTATTGTGGAATTATTATATCCCACAAATTATTGTGGAATATTTGCCCACCTGCCACCCCTGGAAGTGTCCAAGGCCAGGCTGGAGCATCTGGGACAGTGGCAGTGAGATGAACCCAAAGGTGCCTCCAGCCCACCCCACCCCATGGATTTAGGGTCACTCATGGCTGCAGAGTGGAGTTGCCCTAATGGCAGCATCACACTGCCCTTGGAAGAATTTGTCCAAGGAATTTTGAACAACAGATCCTGTCAGAGCCCTACAGGCAGCAAAGACCCAGCCCCACACTGCCCTTGGAATATTTTTTCCATGGAATTTTGAACTGATTCTGCCACCACAGATAATGCAGAACCAACCCCATGCTGCCCTGGGCCAGGAGGCTGCAGGGAGAGAATTCCACGGGAGTTTACCCATGGAAGAAGAGAAGGATTGGCACTGGGATTAAGGATGGGGGTCCTGATGGCTTTTTGGGGTTTTATTATCCCACCCCACCCCTCCTGCTACAACCCCAGCACAAAAACCCATTGAAATTCCAGAATTTTGTGGGTAAAGCTGTGGAAAATTCCACTGAATCCATGTGCCAGGTCAGGGAGATTCCTGCCAGCTGGGGCTCGGGGTTATCTTCACTCCAGCTGCACACTCCATGCAAATATTAAAAGAGATTTTAAAGCCATGCTTGAAATGCATCCACACAAAACTCTCCACTCCCCACTGGCTTATCTGGCCCACCTGGAGGGCTCGGAATATAAAATGGTTTCCAGCTTACAAGCAGCACTTTCTGTCCAAGCACCTGCAAGATTCTGGTTTTCTTCATGGGGCTGAAGGTGAAAAATCACTTCTCTGAGCCACTGAAGCAATAAAAGAATACAACTCCTCTCTAGTGGAGCTTCCTGAGGCACCAGCAGGGTTTAGCTCCTGGCTTTAATGAACTTGGGGAGTGTCAGGGTGGAGAACCCTGCTCCCATCAGAGAGGACACAGCCACTCACCCCGTGAAAGATCTCACCTGCTGCTCAATAATCTCATTTATTTGGGCACTTTACAGCAGAGCACTTTGCTGTGGTTTTTTTCAACCTTTTTCTCCTTCAAGACAGGAATGGACAGTGATAATTTGGGGCTGTAAGAGGGATTTTGCTTGGTAACTCACAGAGAGGAGCAAAGGCAGGGATTTGGATAAATGTGCACATGGAGGCACAGCTCCCACTGTGCCCGAGTGTTGGATTAAGCTTTTTTCTGACCTAGAGATGGGGTAACTGAGAGGTGTTTTAAAAACTTTTATTCTATTTTCAGTCTCATGTGAGGGGTGAGACAATACAGATGTTATAATTCACACCATCACAATCAGAAGTCAGCTATTTCCTAATTAATAAATATATTACAAGCCTTTCTTGGCTTATCAGCTTTAGCCACACCATGCTGTAAATGCCTTAAAGCCAATCATCTAAAATTACCCCTCATGGGTCCCACTACAATGCATCTTTCACAGTTCTGTTTCTCCAAAGTATCCAGCCTTATTTGCCAGGCCATTCTTTGAAACTTGTTCCCAGTTCCATTTCTCTCTCAACAGCGTCTGCCCTATTCCATGGCATTTCTACATCAGCATTTCTCATCTCAAAGTTTCCCACACCCAAGGAGAGCCCAACAGGGCAGATCTGGGAGAGAATTAAAGCTGAGTTTCCTGGGGAAGCCTCAGTTCAGAGCCTTTTACCTTGAGGACGAGCACAGCCACGAAGGCGATGGTGAAGGTGATCATCACTTTGGCATATTCCTCTGCTGGCAGCTTCTCCAGGGCTGGCAGAGAGCCCTGGGGGAAAAGGGAGAAGGTCTCAGCCCAAACCACTCAGGTCTCAGCCCAGAGCACTCATTCCCTCTGCCAGAGGCACCCACAGAGAGGGGTTCAGGGTTCAGGCAGAGCAAGGAATGAGGGATTTTCACTGGCAGCAGGATCACAGGGATGTTGTCTTCCACCTGCTGTTTACACTCCCTGGGCAAAGCCCTGTTTAAATGAACTTTTAAAATTTTAATTTCCACTTTTGGCACCAGCCTGGGATTTTCCTGTTTTTTTCTCTGGAGGGAGAAACTTGGGACCGTGATCCCAGGGCCTCAAATCAGTGTCTCCATCCTTCCCTAGGAATGTGATGATTCCATCTGTTCATAACAACACTGGGGTGGGACTTACTAAATATTATTAAATATTAAATATGACTGTTTAATAAAGATGAAATTTGAGGCATTTTTCATGCCAGCAGCTCCACAATTTGCATCCATCAGATTCCTACAAGGAGAAACAAGGTGTATCTTTAAGGAACACGGGAGCTGTCAGTCAGGAGCAGTGCTGGGGAGAACACAGAAAATCCTCTTTGTTGTCAGGCTGAGCAGTTCTGGATGCTCCAGAGGAGCTGCACAGCCATGGAATGGGAATTTAGAGGAGTTCCAGGGTGGGAAATGAGCAGAGCTGGCTCCAGACCTACCCCGCTCTCCACAGGCTTGAGGCTGAGGAAGGTGGGCACCTCCATGTAGGAGCTGCACAGGGTGAGGATGCTCAGGCAGAAATCCAGCAGCTGCAGCGCCAGCAGGGGAGTCCTGGAGTGGCCCTGCTGAGGGGACAGGAATTGGGTTACAATCACAGGGTTGGGTCACTTCTGCACGTTATTCACACTTTACACAGAGCCTGTGGCTGGTTCACATGGAGTCTAAACCACTCAATTCCCTTAAATTCAGCCCAAAGCTCCCCCTCTGCTGGCCCAGAGAGTGAGCAAACTGTTTGTGGGGCTTCATCCGAGCTCCAGAGAAGCCTCTGGCCAGGGCAGTGACAATGTCAGTTTGTCTCCAGTGATGCCTTGGGAAGGCTGACCTAGAACAGAGACTGGACAGAACTAAAGAACAAAGCAGGGATTTATTCAAAGGCCTCAATGGATCCACCTTGGGCAGCACCAGAGCCCAGCCAGGGCTGCACCCAGGATGAACCAGAATGGTCCCAAAATGCACGGCCGGGCACGGGGTCTCTCCCTTGGATCAGTTCTGCTCCATTTGCATCTTGCAGTTCATTGTCCCATTCCAGCTTTAGCCCCTGCAGTCCCACCCTGCTTGTTTTTCTCTCTCCAGCCCACAGGGTTTGTGCTCCTGGGCTGAGATTTGGATCATTTGTCCTTGGTGCCCAGCTGGAGCAGGAATTGTTTTGTCTCCCTGCTCTGTGCACAGAGCTCAGCATCCCATAATGTGAACCCAGACCCACACACTAAAGCAGAACAGAACCTGAAAAACAGAAAAGCTGAACCTGAGGTGTCACCAGCAAACCCTTCCTGCTGGGGCCACACCCAGAGCCACCTCCCTCAAAGCCAGGAGAAAATCAACATTTCAGGACAGGGGAAGATAAATATCCCAGCTGCCACTGCTTTCCTTCAGCCTCCAAGGATTGCATCCTGTCTAGCCAGGAGAAACCACCTCACATCTGGGTTCAGGATCCTAAAAGTCTTTTCCAAACTAAAGGATTCCATGACAAACCACAGCCCAAGATAACGATCCTTTATTCCAACCTTCCAGGATCCTAAAGGTCTTTTCCACCTTAAATGATTCCATGACAAACCACAGCTCAAGATAATGATCCTTTACTCCAACCTAAAGGATTCCATGCAGAACCCCAGCCCAAGGCAATGACCCTTCATTCCAACCTTCCAAGATCCTAAAGGTCTTTTCCATCCTAAAGGATTCCATGAAGAGCCACAGCCCCAGGGTAACCATCCTTTACTCCAACCTAAAGGATTCCGTGCAGAACCACAGCCCAGAGTAACCAACCTTGATTCCAACCTTACAGGACCCTAAATGTATTTTCCATCCTAAAGGATTCCATGACAAACCACAGCCCAAGATTATGATCCTTTATTCCAGCCTTCCAATATTCTGAAGGTCTTTTCTACTCTAAATGATTCCATGAAGAATTGTAGTCCAAGATAATGATCCTTTATTCCAAACTAAAGGATTCCATGACAAACCACTGCTCAAGGTAATGATCCTTCATTCCGACCTTCCAGAATCCTAAAGGTGTTTTCCACCCTAAATTATTCCATGAAGAATTGCAGCCCAAGATAATGATCCTTTATTCCAAACTAAATGGTTTCATGAAGAGCCACAGCACAGGGTGGTGATCCTTCATTCCAACCTTCCAGGTTCCTACAGGTCTTTTCCATCCTAAAGGATTCCATGCAGAACCACAGCCCAAGATAATAATCCTTTATTCCAACCTTCCAGGATCCTAAATGTATTTTCCAACCTAAAGGATTCCATGACAAACCATATAGCCTGGGGTAAAGATCCTTCATTCCAACCTCAATGATTCCATGAAGAACCACACCCCAAGGGAAGGATCCTCCATTCCATGCATTCCCCACCTCAGAAAAGCCAGGAGCCCCCAGAAGGTGAGGAATCTTTGCTTCTTTTCTGCCAATTTTGGGGTTAAATTGTGAGATGGTGTTTCTCATTTGGACTCAGATATTTGTTAGTTCTTATCTCTGTCACAGTCCCACAAACCCTGAGTTCTGCAGCACTTCACTCTCACACACTGAAAATGGAGCCCTGTCTCTTTCTACAAGGCCTTTGAAGGATAAACTGTCCAATTAAGAAATGGCACTTAAATTTTTTTTTACTTTTAACCCAATAACCAACCACCCATGGCCTTCAATGGGGACTTTTTATCCAATTACACAAAACCACCCAAACCCATGGAGGAGAAGGAGAAGGAGGAGGAGGAGGAGAAGGAGAAGGAGAAGGAGAAGGAGAAGAAGGAGAAGGAGAAGGAGAAGGAGAAGGAGAAGGAGAAGGAGAAGGAGAAGGAGAAGGAGAAGGAGAAGGAGAAGGAGAAGGAGAAGGAGAAGGAGAAGGAGAAGGAGAAGGAGAAGGAGAAGGAGAAGGAGAAGGAGAAGGAGAAGGAGAAGGAGAAGGAGGATCAGCCTCTGCCCCAAAACCTCCATCTTGCTTTATATCTATTACTATATTCTAAGACTTTAAACTCTAAGTTTCCCACCCTGTGATCTCACACACTTCTATCCAAACTCCACACCCACAATCCCAGCTCTGTCATTCCATTCTGGAAGCTTCTCCATGGCCTCAGGTCAGTGCAGTGTTCTCTGGGGGTCAGTGCCTGGCAGCACAGAAAGTCTGGAATTCTCAGTGACCAGGGTTCCAACAAGGAGGAGGAGCTGTCACCCACCGTGTGGCCCAGGGAGGACATGGAGATGATGGCTGGCACTTGGATGTAGGAGCTGAACATGGTCAGGAGGCTCAGGAGGAAATCGATGACTTGCAGAGCCAGGAAGGGGATCAGGAGCCGCTCCCTCATCTGAGGAGGAAAAGCAGTGCTAGTTATTTATTATATAACCATGATATATAATGGTTATTTCCATTCCAAGTGGGAAATGAGACCAGCTGGCACCTTAGATAGTGCTCCAAGAATTAACACTTCCCTGGAATTTCTGATTTCAGTGACAACGATCCAGAGAAAATTATCAGAGCTGATTTTTTTTCACCCCTTTGGAGAATTCCTGTGAATTCTCACTCCGTGACATTGGCACTTCCCATCAGAGCTGTCATCCCACTGTCCCTGAAGTTCACCTGTGCAGAGGGAGAACTGGGTTCAGATTCCTGGGATTTCCAGCCCCAGGCCTGGCCGTTCCTCCTCCTGCCCTGGGAAATGAGTCCCCACAGTTCTCTCACAGTGACAGTTCTCTCTGACTTGCAACAGGGCAAGGAAATGAGGCAAGAAAACCTTTCTAAATCATAAAATCTCCTTCCTTTGACATCAAACATGGCCCTGATGGAAATGCTGCCCAGATTTGGTAGATCTGGGTGTTTGAAGCTTTTCCCAGGAACTTGAGGCTTCAAACCAGTCCCTCTCCCCCTCTGGAACCAGAAGACATTTTCACCTGCCTTTTTTCCTGTGTGATTTTGTGATTCTGGGATCTCTATCTGCCTTTTTTTTTTAAATGTCTGATTCTGGGATTTTAATCTGCCTTTTGTTCCTGTGTGATTCTGGGATTTTTATCTGTCTTTTTTATCCTGTGTGACTCTGGGAATTTTATCTTTTTTTCCCATATGATTCTGGGATTTTTATCTGCCTTTTTTCCTGGGTGATTTTTGTGATTCTGGGATTTCTATCTGCCTTTTATCCCTGTGTGATTCTGGGATTCTGGGATTTATATCTGCCTTTTATCCCTGTGTGATTCTGGGATTTTTATCTACCTTTTTTCCCTATGTGATTCTGGGATTTTTATCTGCCTTTTTTCCTGTGGGATTCTGTGATTCTGGGATTTTTATCTGCCTTTTTTGTCTATGTGATTTTGTGATTCTGGGATTTTTATCTGCCTTTTTCCCCCTGTGTGATTCTGGGAGGTTTTCCTGCTTTTTTTGACCACAATTCCAGTGATCACCATCCAAACCCCGAGTGTCATTTGTGGGGAACGTACCTTGAGCACCCCGAGCAGGAGGTGGAAGCTGATGACAAACAACATGAGGATCAGCAGGAAACTGGTGGTGATATCAGCTGAAAAGGATAAAAATTATAAAATGAATCACCACAACCCCAAAAGATGTCCCAACTCCATCACACCCCTAAGGGAGGGTTCAACCTGGCACAAAGAATTGTGTCTGTGCAGGAATTATTGCCACACAGCTGGAATTAACCCTCTTTTCCATTTTTACACCCATTTTTATCTCTCTATGAAGTTCCTGTATCCATCAGGCACTGTGGGTTGTGAGCTTGAGGGAACCAAGGCCTGAAATGTTAAATACCCCAGGCTACAAAATGAAGAAATAAAAAAATCCAGAGGGCTTTTGGCTCATAGCTCTGAGCTGGAAATTCTTTAGAGGCTGAAAGGCAGATAAAGGAACCAGCAGTGAAATGCTGAAGGAGCTTCAGAAGCTCTCAGAGAAGAGCAGGAATTTTCACCCTTGGGAGGGTTGGGGGATCTCTCCCCCAGCTCTGCAGCTTTGGGGTGCAGGGGACACCTCAAAATGCCATGGGAGGGGCTTTAGGGTGATTTTTGGCAGCTGCTGTGGGTGCAGGGGGTGATGTTTTCTATCCACAGAGTTCCTGCTCAACCTTTGCCTGGAAGCAGCTTTCCCTCCTGGAATCACAGCCTGCCCTGCTGCTGATTCACCTCTCCAGAGGCAAAACCCTGCTGCTTTTTTTATCTGTCTCTGCATAACCTTTCCCAGAGCTTCCTCCAACTCCTTTCCTTCTGTTTCACCTGGGTTTAAATCAGCACTGGCCAGTTTGGGTTCTTCAATTCCTAAGTGCTTCAAGAAAGGTTTAATTCTGCTAGAAATGAGCCAAAGTTTTAATTTTTCTGTTTTTTTTTTTTTTTAAACAGCTGATCCTTCCCATAGGTGCACAGGACTGATGGTCCTTGGGAGTCCCTTCCAGCTAAGGATATTCCACACGACCATGAATAAATCCAGTGCCAAACTCTGTTTTATCCATCACCCCACCACTGTTTTCATAAAGAACTCTGGGAATTGTGCTTGTAGAATCCCTGTCACATTCCAGCTGCTCTGAAATCCTTAACTGCTCCAAATCACCCTTTTTTCCTCAGGAAAATTCATCTCCATCTCCCCCAGCTCGGAGTGTTCACCTGGACCTTTGGTGAGGAAAGATTTCAGTGCTTGGGCAGACCCCAATTCATCCTTTATTCCCTTTCTAGAAGTGGATATTCTTTATTTCAGTGAATAGTTCTTAATTAAATATATTTATTTTTAGTTGGTTGGTTGGTTTTTGGTTTTTTGTTTTGTTTTTTTGGGGGGTGTTTATTTGTTTTGTTTTGGTTTTGGGGTTTTTTTTTTGTTGCCAAGAGGATAAAATCATTCCTAAAGAAGTCAAGGCAGACAAACCTGTCCCTGCTTTTCAGGCAGGTGACCCCAAAAAAGATAACTTTATCAGAATTTGGACATTTACTGTGTTTAGGGGGAAATGCAAAGATTTCCCCTAGAGTAAAGTGATTCAAATCTACCCCCAGCTCCAGAAAGGACTAAAAATGTCACTGAGAAGCTCTGGAACAATTCCAGGTTTGCTGAAAACCTTCCTGAGTCACATCTGGGCAGGTGGCAGCAGCGGTGCCACCCCTCCCATCCTCCCTCTGCTGACAGAGTTCATTTAAATGCAATTCAAATTCATTTCAATTGATACAAAAGAGATTTTCAATTCCCCTGCTGTCTCCTCCAGAAATGAGCTTTGCTGATGGGAAATTTCAGTGAGCAAAGCCCTGCCCAGCACTTCCTCCCCCCAGCACGAGGAGCCTCTTCCTTCCTCAGGCTCTGGGGAGGCTGCAAACCCCCAGGAACCAAAAACGCTGATCTGGGGGGGGACTGGAGCCATCTGGAGGGGTGGGATACAGGGAATGATCCAAATTCTCCACCCACCCTGCACCAGGAAAGGAGGGCTGTGATGGTGCAAAGCAAGGAAAAGGATTTTCCTCATTACCTGCTAAAACCCCAGTGAATTCAGAGCAGCACTGGGTGGGACTGGGATCAATAACTCAGTAAATATGAAGTGATTAAACACAAACCCCATTAAACTCAGCACTGAGAGCTCTGAGAGCACAATATCCTGAGCAGGAAAGGAAAGCGTGGCCTTGATGTCATTTTCCAGAGCAGATTATAAAGTCTGGATTCCATGAATTCAGAAAAATAAAAGTAATTTAAAGTGATTCATTAATAGAAATATAAATTTATAAAAATATAAATTGATTAAAGTGATTCATTCCATGAATTCAGAACAATGCTGGGATGGGACGGGGATCAACAATCCAGCAAATATAAAATAATTAAACATAAATCCATTAAACACAACATTGAGACCCCTGAGCTCACAATATGCCCAGGTAGGAAAGGAAATCGTGGCTCTGATGACTGCTCTGTGATGGCTGCTCCTCCCCAGGCCGTGGGAATTGAGACCCAGAGGAGGAAGAAATCTCCTTAAACAATGAAGAGAGAACCCCCAAACCCAGCAAACCCCGAGGAGAGGGGGAAAGGGCTTTGTCTCCTGGAGAAAATCAGGAACACAAAGGGCAGCTCCCCCCAAAGGCAGCCAATGCTGCTTTCCTTCTGCTCCCACGGGTGTGGGAAAGGGAATTCCAATTGGAATTCCAAGGCAGAACAACAACCCCAGCTTTGAGGAGCAGGGGAATGGAACCAAGGCCGGGATGTGGTGCACAAAGAGCCAAAGATTAACAGGGAACAGCCTAAACCCAAAATAGATCTTAAAAAAAGGAGCCAGACTCAGCCTTTGTGAGACCAGTCCTGAAGGAGCCAATCCCAATCCCAATCCCATTAAAAGCCAGGCTCCCAAAGCCTTTTCCCTAAAGGAACCAATCCCATTAAAGCCCAATCTGCCAAAACCTAGTCCCTAAAGGAGTCAATTCCATTAAAGCCTAAACTCCCAAAGCTTTTTCCCTAAAGGAGCCAATCCCAATCCCATTAAAGCCCAATCTCCCCAAGCCTTTTCCCTAAAGGAGCCAATCCCAATCCCATTAAAACCCAATCTCCCCAAGACTTTTCCCTAAAGGAGCCAGTCCCAATCCCATTAAACCCAATCTCCCCAAGACTTCTCCCTAAAGGAGCCAGTCCCAATCCCATTAAACCCAATCTCCCAAGGTTTTTCCCTGGGTTTTGACCAGCACCAGCACTCAGGAGTTTGTCCAGAGAGGATTTCCCTCTTTATCCCAGGATTTTCTGGGGTCCAGCACAGCCACATTTTCCTGCCTCTCTCTCTCCATGGGCTCCTGCTCCAGCTCTCTGGCAGGATCCCTAATTAATTGGGAAGCAGCCATTGCCAGCTAATTGCCCAGCTGGATTTTCCAAGCAGAACCTGGAATAAACCCCCCCAAACAAATCCCCCACAAACACAAAGGGATGGAAAGAAAAGGAAAATGAAGGGAAAACAACTTTCCATGAGCTGGCTGCCTCCTGTTTGTTCCCAGGGAACAGAGTCATCCTCCCTGTTGGCAGCAGGGGTGGGTTGGTGCCATGGACAAAAACCCAAAAAATGCAACAAAAAAAATCCCCACCCCCCTCCAAACAAACAAAACAAAAATCCCCAAACAAACAATAAGCCAAACAAAAACACAAACAAAACCCCAAACAAACAAGAATCCAAACCAACGAACAACAAAAACAAAACAAAACAAAAACAAAAATCCAAACAAACAAACAAAAATCCAAACAAACAAAACCAAAAAATTCAAGGAAACAAAAACCCCAACAAACAAAAAACCCAAACACACAAGCAAACAAAAACCCCAAAGGAACATAACCCCAAACCAACAAACAAAAAACCCCAAAAAGCAAAACCAAAAAATCCAAGCAAACAAAAGCCCAAATATACAAACAAATAAATACCCCAAATAAACAAAAAGCAACCAAACAAAAACAGAAAGTCAAACAAACAAACAGAACTTCCAAATGTACAAACATGAAAAAAATAAAAACACCAACCCAACCCAAACCAAAAACCAAACCCTGAAAGAGGAAGGAAACCCTTGAGGTCACACTTGCATCAAGTTCTTCAATTCCCATCAAAAAATGGAAGTGGGAACACGTTTTAGAGGAATGGATGGATGGATGGATGGATGGATGGATGGATGGATGGATGGATGATGGATGATGGATGGATGGATGGATGATGGATGGATGGATGGATGGATGGATGGATGGATGGATGGATGGATGGATGGATGGATGATGGATGGATGGATGATGGATGGATGATGGATGGATGATGGATGGATGGATGGATGGATGGATGGATGGATGGATGGATGGATGATGGATGGATGGATGATGGATGGATGGATGGATGATGGATGGATGGATGGATGGATGATGGATGGATGGGTGATGGATGATGGATGGATGATGGATGGATGATGGATGGGGGATGGATGGATGGATGGATGGATGGATGATGGATGGATGGATGATGGATGGATGGATGGATGATGGATGATGGATGGATGGATGGATGGATGATGGATGGATGGATGGATGGATGGATGGATGGATGGATGGATGGATGGATGGATGATGGATGGATGGATGGATGGATGGATGGATGGATGGATGGATGATGGATGGATGGATGGATGATGGATGGATGATGGATGGATGGATGATGGATGGATGGATGGATGGATGGATGGATGGATGGATGGATGGATGGATGATGGATGGATGGATGGATGGATGGATGGATGGATGGATGGATGGATGATGGATGGATGGATGATGGATGGATGCTCCTGGTTTCCTTGTGCTGTTCCCAGCCCTAGCTCTGGAGCCTGCTGGATCATTCCCTGCTGGGTCATTCCCTGCTGGGTCATTCCCTGCTGGATCATTCCCTGCTGGGTCATTCCCTGCTGGGTCATTTCCTGGGAAAGCTCTGCATGAAGGGTTTGCACTGCAGGAAGGGGTTTCCACCCTGAACTGGGGGCTGAGCTGAGCAGAGCAGCCTCCAACCCATCCACAGGAATATTTGGGAATATTGCTCCATGGGAAACGTGGGAACCATTGCCCTGCCCCTTGCTCGGGTTCCTATCAGCAGGACTCACCCAAATTCCCATTTTTTGCTCACTGCTGATGCCCTTCCCCTTGGAACCAGGTGATTTATGTCCCTTCCAATCCAGACACTCCATGATTGTGTTGGATGAACCAAACCTTTGAGTGCTGATGTCAAACATCCCTGGGGGATCCCAGTGTTCATTTTTCCTTGGAAAAAACTGAAGCCAGTTTTTATACCTTCACCAGGCAGTACCTATTCCTGGTGTGGTGCTTTACCCTATTTCTGACTCCTGTCCTGTGAAACAATGTGCAGGAACCTGTACTCAATCTCCTTTTCCTCCACGTACAGGGAGTTTTCGGCCCAGGAACAGCCTCTGGAAAACCAGGGAACAGCAATTCCTGCCTACCAGGGGTTGTGTTTTCCCTCCATGGGCATGCACGGGGCAGGGAGGGGGCCTGGCTTCCTGATTTTGCTCCCAGGGTTCTCTCAGCTTGTGGTTTTTGACAGAAAATGACTCAAGAAAGGAAAACCCCCCCTGCACTTGTTTCCAGACAGCTCCGGCAGAACATCCTGGTTGGGCAATATTTGAGGGCTTTGGTTTTTAGATGGCACCTCATGAGACAGCTCTGGGTCTTTTCAAGGATCTGAGCTGGATCCTTCTGGAGAAATTCAATCCTTCAGGAATTGTGAGCTACGGGACAGCTTGGCTGCCTCTTGCAGCCACCAATGTTCTGGAAAAATACACCAGGGGCTGGGAAAATCTGGGAATGGGGGTCACAGGGGGAGGAAGGGGTGGTGTGGCTCTGTCCAGCTGAGAGGCAGGAGATCCAATGGAATGGCTCCATGGGATTGGTTCCATGGGGATGGCTCCATGGGGATGGCTCCCATGAGAATGGCTCCATGGGGATGGACCCATGGAAATGGCTCCAATGGGAGTGGCTCCATAGGAATGGTTCCACAGGAATGGTTCCATGGCAATGGCTCTATGGGAATGGCTCCATGGCAATGGCTCCATGGGAATGGCTCCATGAGAATGGCTCTATGGGGATGGTTCCATGGCAATGGCTCCATGGCAATGGCTCCATGAGAATGGCTCTATGGGGATGGTTCCATGGCAATGGCTCCATGGGAATGGTTCCATGGCAATGGCTCCATGAGAATGGCTCTATGGGGATGGTTCCATGGCAATGGCTCCATGGGAATGGTTCCATGGCAATGGCTCCATGGGAATGGTTCCACAGGAATGGTTCCATAGCAATGGTTCCACAGGAATGGCTCTATGGCAATGGCTCCATGGGAATGGTTTTACAGGAATGGCTCCATGAGAATGGCTCCATGGGAATGGTTCCATGGCAATGGCTCCATGGGAATGGTTCCATGGCAATGGCTCCATGGGAATGGCTCTATGGGAATGGTTCCATGGGAATGGCTCCATGAGAATGGCTCTATGGGAATGGCTCCATGGGAATGGCTCCATGGGAATGGTTCCATGGCAATGGCTCCATGGGAATGGTTCCATGGCAATGGCTCCATGGGAATGGCTCTATGGGAATGGTTCCATGGGAATGGCTCTATGGGAATGGTTCCATGGCAATGGCTCCATGTCATGGAGGCATGTTGGTGTGCTGGTGGCAGTCTCCCACAGCCCACACGTCCACGGGATCAATATGGGGTGCGATTTGTCCCCTGTCTCCATTGAGGAGTTCTGGGACACTTCAGTGTTTCCCTGGAAATGGCCAGAATGTGAAGGAAGTCAGGAGTGTGTGTGAGGCTGGAATGATCCACAGCTGGGGAAAAGGGAGAGGAAGGGAAACCAGGATTGCCAGGGGAATCCCAGGAGATTCCAGAGGGAGCTGAAGGACTCTGTGAGTGCTGCAGAGTTTGGACTGATCCTCTGAAATAAAAATTTCTCTGGGCTCCACACTGATCTCCAACACAGCCCTGGCCTAAAGCAAACCCCAAACAGAGCCCAAATTCCTTCCTGAGCTTTTGACCAGAATTCCAAACTCTTTGATGGAAAAAGCAGAGGGAGCAATGCAAGACTGAGGCATCCCTCCCTGCCCCACAGCTGCTTCCCAGCATTCCCAGGACCCACCAATTCTGTAGTAATCCTTGTCCAGGTCTTTGCAGAAGCCCTTCCCGTTGGCCACCTCCAGGGAATACTCAATCAGCAGCAGGACACTCATGACCTGGAGAACAAAGCAAAGAACACAATTCAGGGGCCTTGGCCCAAATTCCCAGCAGTGAATTTATTTCCAGGGGATGCTGGATGGACGAGTCTCCAAGTGAGCCAAACACAAAGGGTTTAAATCCCAGGAAGTTCTGAGACAACAATTATCAGTTTATGAATATTTTGGATTTAACTGCCAGCAGAAGGAAGATGGAGAAATGACAGAGGCAGTGAGTTTTGTTTCAATGGTTTTTATCCTGGTTTTGTGTTTGGAAATTCCCTTTTGCTCCAGAGTTGAGGAAAATGCAACACCAGTATTCCAAAGAGTAAAAAGAAACACAAAAGAATGAAAGATCTCCCTGTAAGTGCAGCTGTGCCACTCCACTGACAAACCATCACTTTCCTTCTTTTATTATTTGAGGAAAATCTCCAAATGTTCTTTTTTCACATTGAACTGGAATGATTTTCCCCAAGTTTTCCAAGTGGACCATCAAACCCCAGCCTCCAGGGCTCGTTCTGTCTGGAGTTTAATGAGCTGGGAGATGGAGGGAGGTCCAGAGCTGTGGGCTCAGTCCTGGCCCTGAACTTCTGCACTCAGCCAGGAATGTCTGAGCCCAGCTTAGGAGATCTCCATGGAATCAGGGAATCCCAGAAAGGATGGAACTTGCTGGGGTATTCCCTGCTGGATCATTTCCTGGGAAAGCTCTGCAGGAAGGGGTCTGCACCCTGCACTGGGGGCTGAGCTGAGCAGAGCAGCCTCCAACCCATCCACAGGAATATTTGGGAATATTGCTCCATGGGAAACCTGGGAACCATTGCCCACATTGGAAGGGATTTGCCTATGGGCTGGAAGGGATTGGAAAACTCATCCCATCCCACCCCTGCCATGGGCAGGAACACTTCCCACTGTCACAGGCTGCTCCTGGCCTGTCCAGCCTGGCCTTGGGCACTCCTAGAGATCCAGGGGCAGCCACAGCTGCTCTGTCCATCCCTGTGTGTCCCTGTCTGTCTGTCCCTGTGTGTCCCTGTGTGTCCCTGTCTGTCTGTCCCTGTGTGTCCCTGTCTGTCTGTCCCTGTGTGTCTGTCCCTGTGTGTCCCTGTGTGTCCCTGTCTGTCTGTCCCTGTCTGTCTGTCCCTGTGAGTCCCTGTGTGTCCCTGTGTGTCCCTGTCTGTCTGTCCCTGTCTGTCCCTGTGTGCAGGGCTCAGAGCAGCCCCAGGCTCTGCTCCAGGCCCAGCCATGGCCCCAGAGCCACGGGCAGGGCCTGAGCCCAGGAGCTGCCCCTGCTCAGGAGGCAGAGCTGCCCTGGGCAGTGCCAGCCCTGAGCAGAGCCCAGAGAGGGGCTGGAGTCTCCTGCCTGGGACATTCCAGAGCCACATGGACACTCTGCTGTGCCCTGAGCTCTGGGATGGCCCTGCTGGAGCAGGGGGTGACACCAGTGACCCCCTGGGGTCCCTCCAGCTGCCCCTCTCCGTGACCCCGAGCCCTCTGCCCCGCAGCGATGCAGAAGCCAGGCCCTATCTGCCACCCACATCAGCACCAGCTCGGGCAGAGATGAAACGATTTTTCCACCAGAGCTGCACCAACCTTTCACTTCAACCACAGCCTGAGCAGCACCGTGGGCGAGGAGGAAGTGGCACCGCTGTGGTCTGGGCTTGTGTTTGCAAACTGGGGCTGCTGGAGCAGCACAGAGCCAGCTGCTGCACGGGCTGGGCTGGGCAGAGGATGGGGATTCCAGAGGGATCCAGACACACTTTGGGCAGCGGGATGCCCAGCCAGGGGAGCTGTGCTTGCAAAGGAGCTATGGGAGGGAAGGCTCTGCCTTGCCCAGAAAGGGGAAGGGAGGCTGGGAGGTGACAGGAGCTGAGCACAGCCCCTCCCTCTGCCTCTGTGTCAGCTGCAGAAGACCTAGAAATAATTTCAAACCGAATTCATCAACTTTCTGAGCCCCCAGCTGCAGCTCCCAGAACTGTGGCACCCACCAAGCCATGCTGTGAGGGGACTGGGAGCCCCTGTCCACCCTGTCCCTCTCAATTTAAAATCCTGTCCAGAGTCTGAGCGAGAAAGAAGGATGTGTCAGGTTTTCCCTGGGCCTGTCTGATACCAGCTCGTTCAAGAGTCACTCTGCTGTCTTCCCTTTTTTCCAATTAAGTAAATGAACTTTGCAATTTGCTCATGAGCTGGCAGCAAAAGGAGGAATATCCAGATCTCATTACACGAGGACACGACAAAGTTAACATGAGTTCAGCTTAATGGAACAGCATTTCAGCTCCCAGGGCAGCTCTGAACCCTGTCAAGGATGAAATTGCATCGATCCAAAGTGTCTTTACAGCTGCTGGTGCCCCTTGGGAGGAGAGGGATCTCTTAATGAAGACACATGGAGATCACACCTGACTGCAAGGTGGCTGAGAGGTTTTGTGTTCAGGCTCCCAAACACATTTTGCTTCCTTTATTTCTGCTGTTGGTCCAACCCCTCAATTGCCAGCTTGGGAAATACGGGCAGAAATGGCTTTTTCAGGTTCCACTTAAAAGGAGGCCTGAGCAAAAGGGATGAGCTGGGCCCTAAATATCAGTTTTGTTCTGAAGGAGTGGGTGAGAGCAGGACAGCAAACCCCAAATTCCCCCATCCCATCCAGCAGATCTGGAGGCTGAAGCTGAGCATGAGGAGCCCTCTCTGATGTGTGCCAGAGAAGAACAAGGCCCTGGTTTCCTTTCTGGAGGAAGTGAGCCACACAGCCCAAGTGCAGTCACACAAGATAAGGACATGGCAGGAAACCCCAGCCCAGCCTGGGAGATTCAGGAGACTTTTAAGGCGAAAGTTGGTTTAAATTTTTCCATTTTGTGTAGAAAGAAAGAAGCCCTGAGTTGTGAGCAGGCAGAGACCTCCAGGCCTTTCCCTTGGCACGGAGAGCCAGGCTGGCACAGGACACCTCTGCAGCAGCTGCCTTTGGCACGCTGGGATGGGGAGCCTTCCTTATTCCTGCAGGGAATGCACATCCAAGGGATGAACCCTCTGCAGAGGGGCCTTTTGGGGGAAGGCAGAGGAGGATGGATGTGCTGCCTGCCCTGCACTCCTTGCTCAGCTGCTCCCACTGCAGATCCACTGCTCAGCTCCAGCAGGAACCAAAAATTTCTCATTTCACACAGAAAAATACCCAGTTCCCTTTCCCTTTGCAATGCCACAGCAGGACAAATGCAGGTTTAAAATAGAGGATTTCACTTCCAGGTGCTCCATTCCCAGCCCCTCTCCAGCCCCTCATCCCTGATCTCCTCGAGCTGGATCTTTTGTTGCTGCCTGTCTGTAAAAGGAGCTTCACATTTCTGGGTGGAAGAAATTTGAATCCTCAGAAAATGAAGAGCTGGAGATGGACCAGGGCAGCTCAGGCTGGAGCTCAGGGCAAGGCTCTTCCCCCAGAGGGTGCTGGGCACTGCCCAGGCTGCCCAGGGAATGGGCACGGCCCCGAGGCTGCCAGAGCTCCAGGGATGCCCAGGCTGGGCTTGCTGGGGGCTCTGGGCAGGGCTTGGCTTTGGCATTGATCATCCCTGTGGGTCCCTTCCAGCTCGGGGCATTCTGGGATTCCATGATATGCTGAAATAATGTAGGACTGAGATAAATACAGTCATTAAATCAAGGGAGATAAATTAGGGTGTCTTGAAGGCAGAATCTGACACACAGAGCCCCCATTCCCTGGGACAATCCTGCTGCAGCTGCAGTGGGGTTAAACTGCTCTTGGAGGTCACCTTCTGCCAGTTTGTTTTTTTTCTGAAATATTTGCAGCTTGACTGATCTCCAGGTGATTTATCTTTGTGCATATGGCCCTGGTGCGAGGCTGCTCCTCTGCTGCTTCACAGGAGGCGTTTCTGCCAGGGGAGCTTGAAGGCCTGGGGAGCAGGGGCCCCTGGGGGACAGGGACAGGGACAGGGACAGAGACAGGGACAGGGACAGGAACAGGGACAGGGACAGGGACAGGGACAGGGACAGGGACAGAGACAGGGACAGGGACAGGGACAGGGACAAGGACAGGGACAAGGACAGGGACAGAGACGGGGACAGAGACGGGGACAGGGACAGGGACAGAGACAGAGACAGGGACAGGGACAGGGACAGAGACAGGGACAGAGACAGGGACAGGAACAGGGACAGGGACAGAGACAGGGACAGGGACAGGGACAGGGACAGGGACAGAGACAGGGACAGAGACAGGGACAGAGACGGGGACAGGGACAGAGACAGGGACAGGGACAGGGACAGGAACAGGGACAGAGACAGAGACAGGGACAGGACAGAGACAGGGACAGGAACAGGGACAGGGACAGAGACAAGGACAGGGACAGGGTGCTCTGGGTGCTGGGGTGTTCTGGGGACACCAGCACAAGGAGCACCACCCAAAAACGCTGCCCTGTCAGAGCTTCTCCTTTTCTGTCTTGAATTTCTGAGTGGCTCTTGTGGCAGCCGAGGGTGAAGTGAGGAGAGCTTTGAGTTCTCATCTGGTTCCCTTTCACATTTCATCTTCTCCTGCTGCCTCCTTGGTTGAGCTGCTCCAGGGGAAGCAGCTCAGGCTCTGTGGGGCCCCTGGGTCAGCCGAGCCTGGTGAGAGCTCAGTGAATCCCTCTGAGTTCACCTGAGTCATGTCCAGAGGTGAGGACAGGGCCTGGGAGGGCTCCAGAGGGGAATTTCTGCTCTGTGAGTTACAGAGCTGCTAAAAGAGGAGCTGGAGTGAAGCTGAGGCCAGACCAGGTGCGGACACTGCTTCCCGAGGCTCCTCTGGCTCCAATCAAGGAGCAGCAGGAAGGGAATTCTGTTCCTGCACTGGAGCAGGTTTCCAGCTCCGACCTTAAATCTCTCTGTCAAACACCTCGAGGCCTGAGGAGCAGGACAAGCTCCCCAGTGCTGTCTTTGAAAGTCACCTGCAGATCACCTCCCCACACCATGGAGCTTTGCTGATCACACTCTCCTCACTCCCCTCCTCCTTCCCTGTCTGTTCCAGAGCACCCAGGATTTATTCCAGTTGTCTCTGAAGAGATCAGCAGCGAGGCAGAGCTGATTTATGGGAGGAGAAGACCTTGCCACAGAGCCTGAGAGCTCTTTGGTGGGACTGCTGTCACCCAGCATGGCTGGGATTCATCCCTGGCACCTGCAGCAGGAATTTATCCTGACCCAAGGCCCCAGCGCTGATGCAGCAAATCAGCCAAGGTATAAATCCCCTTCTCCCTTTCCCTACCCCTGCCCAGCTGCAGCTGCACCATCAGAAAGGGAGAGAAGAGGCAGGGGTAGAAATGATGGGTATTGTGTGACAGCTCTTAAAGTATGACAAGACCTATCCAAAAATCACCCTGTTTTCCAAGGGCAAGAGGGATGGTACAGCTCTTGGACCTTGGAATGTCCTTCCTGTGCCACAGCTGCCATTCCCATGGGATTTCTGCAGGCTGCAGCTCTCCCCAGTCCCCTCTGCTGGGCAAGGAGTGCTGAGAGCCCCAGTATCACCCCAAGGGCCCAAAACCCTGACTGTGCACACCCAGAGCTGTGGGGAGACCATGGAATGTCCTTCCCGTGCCACAGCTGCTGATCCCAGGATTTCTGCAGGTGCCCAGCTCCCCCTCTGCTGTCCCAGGAACCTGTCCCAGCCCCGTTACCACCCCGAGGGCTCCCAAACCATGACTGTGCACAGCCAGGGCAGCACGGGGTTTATTTTAATAACCCAGCCATGCAAGAAACCACATCCTCAGGACGGTTGAAAACACCTAAAGCTCCTCAGTGCCACCAGGAGCGTGGGAGAGAGGGGTCTCCAGGCTGTCCTGCTCTGCCATCCCTGCCCTGAGCAGCTTCTAGACACGGCCATGATCCCAATGGAAACCAAAAGAGACCCAGAGGAGGCAGCACTGCCCATCACCCTTTGCCTGTCCTGCTCCCAAATCCCTCCAGTGCCCCATTCCCACATTCCCACTGCCAGGGCTGCCCATTCCCACCCAGCAGGCTCTGGATACACTCAGGTAGGAGCTCCTGCACTGAGCAGAAAATCAGGAAGCAGAGCGAGTTTCCCTGAGCTCCAATTGGCAGAGCCAGGAAAAAATTGTTCAAAACCCCTCCCAGTGCAGCAAATTCCACTTCTCCCTGTCCCCCCTCACCTTTTGTTCATCCCTCTAAACTCATTGGGTTTTTCCTCTTGGGAACAGAGAACATTCCAGTGTCAGGGAACCCTGTGAACCACAACAATGCACCCTCCTGGAGAGGTTCCACCTCTGTTTTCCTGCCTCCCTGTCCCCCGTGCAGGACTCACCATGTGGAAGATCCCCAGGGCCACTGTTGCTGTCTTGATGTTGAAGCAGCAGCATTTGGGGGGCTCAGGGGGAGTTTGGGGGGTCATTTTCGGGTCTCTGAGTGCTCCTGAGATAATGAGGTTGGATTTGCAGCTGCCCCACGGAACACAAAATGAGAGCAGCTCGGCTTCCTTCCTGCTCTCTGAATGTGTGAAGTCATCTACAAAGTCACATGAGGCCTTTGGGTTTCTCAATCACAAAGAAAGCAAAACTGGGGGGCTTTTTGAGCACATCCAGCTGGGAAATCGCAGCCCCAGTTCTGTGTCCAGCACGGGGTGTCAGGAGAGGACCATCAGGAGCAGGACAGGGCTTTGTCCTGCAAAAATCCTCAGGAACAAAACAGGGGCCAGGAATTTCACCTCAAACTCACCCTGCTGCTTTTGCTGTTTTTGCAAAGTTCCTCCCTTTGGAGCTGGTGTTCCCTGCCAGCAAAGGCTCCGTTCCCTGGAGCTGCTGCTGGAGCAGCCCTGGGCTCTGTGAGGAGGAGGAGGAGGATGGCAGAGGGTGTTGGTGCCTCTTTGGGGCTACCTAAAAACACAGGCCAGACAAAATTAAGGGAATAAAAAGCAGATATATTTATTGAAGGGCCTTTTGGGCAAATTCCCCCAGGGGCTATACCCAAAAATGGACCAGGTGTCATGGATTTGCACAATTTTATAAATTTGGGCCATTTGCACATCGGGGGTTACTCTTCCAATTACAGCTTCAGGTAATGAAGTCATTTACCCCAGATTTGCTCCCCCCAACTCACTTTTGTTTCCATCTCTCGGGGCCTGAGGCAGTGAGGTGTCCTTGCTTGTCAGGCCTGGACAGGAATTGTTGTGTCTGCCCAAAATGGGGAAGCAGCAGCTCACACTGTACATGGAGTTTAGAATTACACACTAAGGAACTGCAGGATTACAAATGTATGAAAAATATAAAAGCTAAAATCCTAAGGCATCAGTGCTGGCTGGAGAATCTGCAGCTCTGGTGCCAGCTCCTGGGGATGTGATCTGTGTCCTCATCTCCTGGAAGGGAAACCAGCGGGATCTGAGTGTGGTGGCTTTGTCACTGTGCAGGACATTGGGGTGTCCCCCTGCTAACTGAAATGTGCTCCTTGACAAGAGACTTTTTACTGTTCTCATAAAAAAACCCATTTTTAATTCTCTTTTCCTCTTCCCCCACCCCATGGGACAGAAATTCCCTCTTTAGACCCCTGTGGAGTGGATTGTTCTGAGTTTTGGGCTTTCTGACAAAGGTTTGATGTGTCCCAGCAGGGGACAACTCTCCAGGAGGGAAATGCAGGTAAATAAAATGAGAATTGGGCTCACATGAGCTCTTGTGGGTATCAGATCCCAAAAATGCTCCCTGGATTTGCTGTTTGATGCCTCCAGGAGCGTTCCCAGCACAGCATCCCCACAGTGATGCAGCAGAGGGGCTTCTTTGTGGTTTTTATGGAATTAAATGCAGAGATTCCACCTGGGTGCTTCATAAATACAATCCAGCTGCAAACACTCCTTGATGGATCCTTGGCAGAGCAGGAAGGTGAAATCTCTTCACCAGCAGGGAAAGCACAGAGCTGAGGTGAGGACTGAGGGCACCACATCCACCAGCACCCCTGGAGCTGCATCCACCTGTGAGAAATAGGCTTAAAAATCTGGTTTATTTTTACAAATAGATCACTTTGAGCATCTCTCCTTTACAAACCAGATGCAAACACGGGCATGGTTTTGCCTTCCCCACATGAAAAATGTTTTCTTTAGGGGCTGCCTCCACCCCTGATAAATAGGGCTAAAAATAAGGTTTATTTTAAAAAATAGATAATTTTGAGCATCTTTCCTTTACAACAGGCTTGGCTTTGCCTTCCCCACATGAAAGGTGTTTTCTTTAGGGGCTGCCTCCACCCCTGATATATAGGGCTAAAATAAAGGTGGGTTTTTTTTAATAGATAATTTTGAGCATCTTTCCTTTACAACAGGCTTGGCTTTGCCTTCCCCACATGAAATGTGTTTTCTTTAGGGGCTGCCTCCCCTCCAAGCTGGTTTGTGGAAGGAGTTGCAGGAGGATGAAGGATTTCCTGCAGATCTGAAAAGCTGGTTTATGATCTGCCCCTGCCCCTTATCCCCTCAGGGGCACACAGAGCTCTCCTTGTGTGCCCGAGCATTCCGGACCCAAACTGAGCTCTGGCTGTGGAAAAACAAACACAAACAGACACAAGTCTGTTCCATTTCTTTTTGAGTTGGTGCTGCAATGAGCAAGTCATCCAAGGTTTGGGTGGGAAGGGACCTTAAAGCTCTTCCTATGGCCCAGGGCCACCTCCCACTGTGCCAGGTGCTGCCAGCCCCAATGCCCAGCCTGGCCTTGGGCACTGCCAGGGCTCCAGGGGCAGCCACAGCTGCTCTGGGCACCCTGGCAGAGCCCAAACCTCTCAAACCAGGCCTTGCCAGGCTACAAACCCCCTGTGGCAAATGGCACTGGGGGCACCTGGAACCATGCAGGAAATCATTCTTTCCTTGCCTTTCTCCATTTGCTGCAATGGTTTTTGGTGCTGGTTTCCATCCTGGATTGAGGAATGGGAATGCCAGAGTGGTTTGGGTGGGAAGGGATCTTCAATGCCAGCTCATTGCAGCCCAGGGCCACCTCCCACTGTGCCAGGTGCTGCCAGCCCCAATGTCCAGCCTGGCCTTGGGCACTGCCAGGGCTCCAGGGGCAGCCCCAGCTGCTCTGGCAATTCCAGCCCAGCCCCTGCCCACCCTGCCAGGGAACAATTCCCAATTGCCAAGATCCCATCCAGCCCTGCCCTCTGCCACTGGCAGCCATTCCCTGCCTCCTGGCCCTCCATCCTTGGCCCCAGTCCCTCTGCAGCTCTCCTGGAGCCCCTTCAGGCCCTGCAAGGGCTCTGAGCTCTCCCTGGAGCCTTCTCCTCTCCAGGGCAGCACCTGGATGTAGTGTAAAATGCTTGACCATGGGTGTTTTGTCAGGCTGGAGACAAAGATTTTGCCATGAAATATTGACAAATAGTAGGCAAACTTTTCATTCCTTGAGGCAAAACTGTCCAGTGGTAAAACCTCACGGTAAAACCTTTGCAGCGGTTCTCCTCTATTGATGGCTGGAACCAAAAAGGCAAATCCAGGAGCATCCTCTGGATGCAGTGGAATGTTGAGAACACAATCTTTTAAGTTGATGACAAGAAGAGGCCAGTCTCTTGGCACTGTTAAATCAGAAATGACACAGTCAGAAGGCTGAGTTGAACAAGCTCACTGTTTTCACTGAAACTGCTTCTTTTATAAACTGGTCGATACAGGTGAAGCTGATTGGTCATTTAATCAATACATTTCACATGATTGGCTAATTAACAAGACACCCATTTGTAAACAATCTTATGAGAATAACAGGAAACAGAAAAACATGACCTGCAGGTTGTTTTAATAATTGGCTATCATTGTTTATCTCCTGCTCCCTAAAGCTTCCCAGGCCCATTCTGGGAAAACTTATCTGGCTTTCTCTCTCTCTGAGCAGGCTGCCACATCCACATCTTGGAATCTTTGAAAGAGAAGGAAGTCCAGGCTGCAGAGGCCCCATGTCCTCTGTGAACTCACTGATGTTCCTCAGGCCATGGAGAAATCTCTGGGAATCAGAAGTCTTCTTATGAATGATGAAACCTGGGAAAAGCTGGGCCTGGGGTCCTGCTGGAGCCTGGAGGCCGCTGAGGCCTGGCAGTGCCACCCCCATATCCCTTCTGGGGACTCCAGGTTTTAGGAGGTTGCTCTGCTCAAAGGGACACAGCCTTGGCTGGACATGGAATGCCGGACATGGATTTGAGGCGTTTGGTGCTGCTTTGTCTGTGACTCCCTCCTGGCAGCAATTCCAGCCGGAATTTCTCCTTGGAGAGGTCATCAGAGTATCTCCCACCAGGAGAGGCTGGGACCAGGTGCTGTCCCTTTGTCCCTTGTCCCCAGAGCAGGGAAGAATTCCAGCCCTGTGTGATCTGCTCCTCAAGGAAAGCTGGGCTAGAGGGTGGGGCAGCCATTGGGAATAAATCCAATAATAAATAAATAAATAGATAAATAAATAGATAAATAAAAACATGCCAATAATAAAAAATAAAATAAATAAGGATAAAAATAAATATAATATCATTATATGATAGAATATGTGTGATATAATAGTTTCTATATAAATATAAATATAATATAAACATCAATATAACAATATAAATATACATAAATATACAAAAATATATAAAATATAATGGATATAATAGATATAATACCTACAGTATGATATTATTGAAATATGTTGATATTTTATATTTATACAATATAAATAGATAAATATTTATAAATATAATATGTCAAATAAAATAAATATAAATAAATATAAATATATGTCTTGGTTTAGGGCAAATTTAGGAGGAAACTTTTGAAGTGGCTTTCTTGAGAAAATAAATTCAAGCTGGCTCTCCTCTAACTGGTTCTCCCCTCTTTGCTCTTGGAACCAGGCTTAAATGTTAAACTTGGTATCCAGCATAAACAGAACAGAATGGGGATACAAGTGTCATAAAGTCACCCTAAGACAATATAATAATGCATTTTGATAGATATATTTATCATATTATCTAAAGATATGTAAATATAAAACTACAAATAAATATCTATGCCAAAAAAGTAAAGAACTATAAAATCTGTGGGGGGATTTGAGGGAGATTTGGGGTGGGTTGGGGGGTTCAGGGGGATTTGAGGGGGGCTGAGGGGTGTTTGTGGAAATTTGGGAAGATTTCTGAACTTTTGGGAGGGCTTAGGGGGATTTGGGGAGGATTGGGGCAAACTGAGAGGGTTAAGGGGGGATTTGGGGGGCATGGGGAGGTTTAGAGGGGATTTAAGGGGGTTTGGGGGAATTTTGGGGAATTTGGGGAGGATGTGGGAGTAATTGGGGATTTGGGGGGCGTGGGGAGGTTTAGCGGGGATTTAAGGTGGTTTTGGGGAGTTTGGGGGAATGTGGGAGGGATTGGGGGTTTAAGGGGGGATTTAAGATATTTAGAGGGGATTTGGGTGGGGTTGGTGGAAAATTTAGGGGGACTGAGGAATTTTTGAGGGGTGGATTTGGAGGGAAATTTCGGGGTTTGGCAGG